AGAGAGAGAGAGAGAGAGAGAGAGAGAGAGAGAGAGAGAGAGAGAGAGAGAGAGAGAGAGAGAGAGAGAGAGATTGAGAGAGAGAGAAGCAGCCTCCTGTGGCACCTGGTAGCTCTGGGTTCCTGTGGATGCTTTAGGGGCTGCCCTGTCCTGGCAGACCCTGATCTGTGTGGTGAGGAGGAGGGGAAGTGACAGTTAACTGAAGAATCTGAGCCCCACCCCCTCTCCGTGACCCCACCTGGGGGCTCCTCTGCAGCAGGGAACTCAGGGTAGGGACAGGTAAACTGCTCTGCCAGGTCCTTTCTGGACACTACCCTATAATTGTCACGACAACCCCGACTTAGTACGATAGGCAGTAACCCAAGGTGCCCAGGGCTCCCTTGCCCAATGTCTCCTAGCTGGTACGAATGCAGAACAGGGCTTCATTCAGCCAGTTTCTTCAACTTCCAAGTTCATGTCCCTTAACCACTATGCCAGGGGATGCAAAGTTGTGACCCACAGCCGGAAAGCAGGACATATGTGTGTTTTCTTTAATCTGTCCATTGCTGACACCATAGTGCTTTAAATTGTCAGTGATGAAACATCGAGACATTACTGGTCTAAGCATGGCACTGTTCTAGGGGCCCTAAGATGGGAACTTATTTAATAATCATCACAGTCCTATGAAATAAGTGCTGTTACTACCCCTAGTTTACAGATGAGAGTCAAAGTCGTTCAAGGTCACATAGTGAGGAAGTAGCAGAGATGGGATCTGAGGCCATGTGCTCCCTCTCTCCTCTTTTCTTATTCACATGAACATCTAGATTTCCAATGTGTCACAGAAATTGTAAGCCCTGGAAAGCCTGGGTCCGGCCCACAGCTGCCTCGAACTGCCCTCTTTAGTTGGGCCATGTGCTCTCATTTGCCATACACCCCACCCATCTCTAATGTCCTCCTGATGTTTCTTATACCAAGTGCATCTCACCCAGTTCTTTCTCACCTGTTTCCTGGCACCTGAGTTTGCAAGCCCTGAGCAATTCTCTGTCTCAGATGTTGGCAAACAGTTCTCAGATGGTATAGGTTTTAGGCTTTGCAGATTATAAAATCTCCGTTGCAATCACTCTTCAGCTCTGCCATTGTAGTGTGAAAGCAGACAAGGGACGGGCATGGCTGTGTGCCAGTAAAACTATTTACTAACCCCGCCATGTCCACTGGGGCTCACCAACTCTGCCCCAACCCACTCACCTCGACTGTCCTGTGCTCCATTCAGCCTTCTGTCCCTCCGCCCATGTTCTTCTACCCCCTCACCGTCTACACACCTGACAACAGAGGCTTAACCTTCACTTTCAAGGCTTGGAGTGGGCTGGGCAGGGCCCTGGGTGGGAGGACTGGGAGGGCCTGATCTGAACGTGGTTCCATTCCCAGCAGAGAAATCTCTCAGGCTACAACTCCACAGGTTTTGAGGGATTCAGTGAGGCTGGCTGCCTTCTCACAGCAAATGAGAACTTTCTGTGCAATGACCAAAGAGTGCCGCATGGATTGACCTTGAACCGGAGCAGATTCCGCCTCTGGGAATGTCCCCTCAGGAAATACGCCTCTCTGCAGAGAAAGCCCTTTCTCCCAGAAAACCGTCACATGTGAGTGATGCAGGATTCTGAAAAGTTGGGGGGAAGAAAGCCTCATTGGGCATCTACAGGGATTGCGAATTGGAGGATCAGGTTTGCCAAAGAAAAGCAGCAGTCATTGGCAAGATGCTCTTGGCTACGCTGACTGGGAGAAGTGGAGGGTAAAATGTGAGGATGGCGGGTGAGCCCAGATGTATATTGAAGACAAAGGACTGGAGGGAAGCACAGTCACAAGTTGGGTGAGAGTAACACACACTTAGTGCCTGTGATCTAGTGCATCATTGTACTAAGGGAGCATCTATGTTGATTATTCCAGTCAATCCTCACAACAACCTGTAAACACACCCATTTTTACAGATGAGGAAACTGAGGCAGAGAGGGGTCAGGGACGGTGCCCTAGGTCACACACTGGTGGGTGTTAACAGCTGGGATCAGGATCCGAGTCTGGGGATCTGACCCACCCAAAACTACCCCCAACCCATCATTGTTCTGTTTGGATCTGGGGGCTCCACAGTTGGTTTTTGTCTTTTATCACCTTGGAGTTTCTCAGATTTTCTTTAATGAGCAAATCTGACTTTCATAATGGGAATGACAAACAGGAAACAAGGCACCCAGAGGTCTGGACTGGAAGAGGGTCAGTGGGGAGAGGAAGGAACCGTGGGCCTCCTGTCCACCCAGGCAGGTCAAGTGGAGCGGGAGGGCAGGGGCCACAGTTGTCAGCCTTCCTCCCCACTTTCTCTTCCAAATGAGATGAAATTCACATCACATTAACCATTAGCCATTTCAAAGTGAACAGATCAGAGACATTTAGTACATTCACAATGTTGCAAAACCACTTCTATCTAGTTCCAAGACATGTTCATCACCCCTAAAGGAAACCCCATAACCACTGAGCACACACTTCCCATCCCCCTTGCTGACCACTAACTTCTTCCTGTCTCTGTGGATTTGCCTGTTCTGTACAATTCATATAAATGGAATCACACAACATGTGGCCTTTTGTGACTGGTCTCTTTCACTGAGCATCACGTTTTTTAGGTTCATCCATGTTGTGGCCTGTGCCAGTGCTGCATTCCTTTTAATGGCTGCATAGTATTCCACTGCATGGATAGACCACGTTTTACCTATTCATTAGTTGATGGACACTTGGGTTGCTTCCACCTTGCCTATTGTGATTAGAGCTGCTGTCAACAGTTGTGTACAAGTCTTTGAGGACTTGTTTCCAGTTCTCTTTGGTGTACACACCTAGGAGTGGAATTGCTGGGTTGTATAACACTGTGTAACTTTTGAGGAACTGCCAGACTGTTTTCCACTGGGCTGCACCCCCGTCCTTTTGCAATAGTACGTTCCAGTCATTTCAAAACGACCCTTGCTCTGGAACAGGAATCTGAGATCTCAGAATGTGACGGAGTGGGTGTAGGGAGGGTGTAAGATGGGGAGCCAAGCACAGGAGACCCTCTAATATGATGGTCAAGGGCTTGGGGATCTGAACACCTGTGCCTCAATTCTGGCTTCTCTGCTCCCTGGGTGTGGTTGGCAGAATCATGGCCCCTAAAGATATTTCCATCCTAATCCCTGTCACCACGGAATACGTTACCTGACATGGCAAAGGGACTTTGCAGAGGTGATTAAGGATTTTGGTTGGGAGATTATCCTGGGCCAGTGTAATCACAGGGTTCCTTATAAGAGGGAGGCAGGAAGGTAGAGTCGGAGAAGAGGTGAGGGTAGAAGCAGAAACTGAAGTTATGGGGCTGGGGCATGAACCAAGGAATGGATTCGCCCCTAGAGCCTCTGGAAGAAACACCGCCCTACTAACTCTTTTCGACTCACCTCCAGAGCTGTGAGGTAATAAATTTGTATTATTTTAAGCCACAAAGTTTGTGGTAGTATGTCAATAACAATAAAAAATTAGATGTGTCTTGAGCTGGTTGGTGAGCTTTTCAAGGCCTCAACTTTCACACCTGTAAAATGGGAATAACAATCAGACCCACGTTAGGATTGCCAAGAGGAATACATCAGGCAATGTACGTAGAGCTAACATTAGCTGATGAGTTCTTCCCTGCTAGATTATATGCATTACAAGAACTTGCGTCCACAGTTTACAGCCAACCTCGTGTGCTGAGCAGTCTCTGGCCTCTGGTGGGCCTGGACGCATGCCTGCTCTCTCGGCGAGGAGGCAGGAGTGAAGCTGCCTTGCTGGACAGGGTCAGGGGCCTGAGGCCCCGAGTTCTGGGGAAAGAGGTCATTTGAGAGGCAATAACCATAGGGTTATCGTGAGGATTAGAACAGAGAAAACAAGGATCCAGAAGACGCCTAGTGTGATGCCAGGCACATGCCCGCGGTCCAAGGAAAGGCTGGTGGAACAGGCACAACTCCTCCCTACCCCCTTTCCCCGCCTCCCTGCCTCTCTCCTGTCTTTTCTTCATTCATGAAGTCAACAGCAGTTGAGTGCCCACTGGTTCCAGGCTGCTTGTCTGTTCTATTGAGAAAAAGTTCAAAAGCCCTGGGATGAGGAGGCTGGCAGGCCCATAGCCTCCTCCAGGGTCCAACAGCACCTGCTGCTGTTGGGAGGCAGGAAGCACACCTGTTGGGGCACAGGCCCCACCCTCCGGAGCTCCGGCAGCCCCAGGCTGGCTCTGGGGAGGGTGGGGCTGGTCGCCAAGGCCTCAGGTGGTGTGGATACGGAAGCAGGAAGTAGTCTGTGCTTCCAGGAGTTAGGGCCTGCTTGGCTGGGGGTGCTCTGAAGTAGGTTGGGGTCTGGGGGTGGGGCTGCTCCGGGGAGTGGGAGGGGAGGGGGCTGCCCAGGCCAAGGTCAGGACCAGGACCAGAGGGACCTGGCAAGGAGCGGAGTGGAAGTGAGGCTGGGGCCTGGAGGGTGGTGTGAAAGGGGCAGGGGCTGGACTGTGTGGGAGGCCTATAGGTGGCCTGGTCCCAGAGGAGACCAGGGTTCTGAGGGGCTCCCTCTGGGGGGCTGGGGCAGGTAGCACCCAGGACCCAGCCGAGATGGACAGCCTGGAGGAGCTGGAGACCACGGCCCAGGAAGTGCTGGGGAAACTGAAGTCCCGCAACCCGTTCCAGTCCCACTGGGACACCGCTGCCTTCATCATCTTCCTTGTCTTCCTGGGTGAGTGTGGTCTCTGCGTCTGGCCTATCAGCCTCCTGTGCCAGGTCCCAGGCCGAGGGCCAGGGCTGAACACCCATCCTGCCCCCAGGCACCGTGTTGCTCCTGCTGCTACTTGCCTGTCTCCACTGCTGCTGCCACCACTGCTGCCGCCAGAGCTCCAGGTCCCCAAAGGTGAGAGCCATGCAGGTGAGACTTGCTGGCCGCTGGCAGACCAGGAATTGCACTGGGGTGCAGGAGGCAGTGGTAGGGGGGCCGCTGGGCCTCCTCTGGAGGGGGGGGGTGAGGGGCAGCAGGGAAGGAGTGAAGCTCACCGGGCCCCGCTCTGTGCCTCTCTTGCAGGAAAGCTCCAAGGGCGTGGATAACTTGGCCCTGGATCCTTAACGCGGCCAGTCCCTGCCCTTCTGCCCATGTGTCCTGCCGGGCAACAGTAACATGGCTTTGTTTGCCCAGATCCTGAGTCTGAAGTATGTTCCGACCTCCCCTCAAGGGTTGGGGAGTGCGGGCACTCACTGCTCCATGTAGATGCCTACCTGGTCCCTCACAACCTTCAGTGGCCTGGCTGTCACCCTCCAGCTGCCCACGGGAGGGGAAGCCGGGACCAACTCCCCAGGCAATACCCCTGTCAGCCCCTCGGCAGCTGGGAGGACCCTCTTAAAGGTGGTGTGAGGCGGCCAGGGGCCCAGTCACTGGGTAGTCCACCCAGCTCTCACCAACAAGGACCCCCAATCTGTCCCCGCTCAGACAGACATACAGATAGACGGATTCCAGGTGAAGTCGGATGTGCTTTATTTCTTGGAGGCCCTGGCACTGTTGCCAAGCAAACAGTCAAGGGCTCTCCAGCTCATGGCGGGTGGCTTCCATCTTCCCACTTCCGCCTCCTTCTTTCCCAACTCACAGCTTAGGGTCACCACCCACCCCTCACCTTCCAGAGGGAAGGGGGGTGCGGCTGCCCCTCACTATCCTGGGGGCAGCTTGGCAGGCAGGCAGCAAAGCGGGGAGGAGAGAGAACCCTGGGAAGAGCCCTGGCCGGGCCCCGCCTTGAGTCCAAAGGGCAGGGCTTGGAATGTGGGCCATCTCTCGCCCCAGCTTCCAGACCCACCCCCATCTAAAACAAAAAGCAAGCCAGAATCCCTTCCCCCTGGGGGGTTCCAGTGTTCACTCCCATCTGTGCAAATGTGATGGGCAGGACGGGGCAGAGAGCAAAGTAAATTGCCCACAGTGGCGGCTCTGGCTCTGGCCCACACGCCGAGTGTGTGCGGTAGGGACAGGGACCCCCTGGTCAGGGGCCACTTCCCCGGGGGACAGGCTCTTGGGCGCTCAGCTTAGAAAGGCCTGTAGCTCCAGTAGCTGGAGAACACGGAGATCTGGGGAGGAAGAAAGGTGAGGGGACATGGTGAGTGGTGGTGTTGGGAGGCCTGGACCCCCCTGCACCCTGTGACCTCGGTGAGGTTTCAAGGTCATCCAAGGGCGATGTGTCAGGGAGAGGGTACTGTTGCCCAACAACACCATGGCCCATCTGTCTGGTGTGTGCAGAGAGTACAACGGACCTTAAGATTTGGGTGTAATTTGGAGGTGTGTGTGAGAAGAGCCCTTGGAATCCCCCCAAAATGAAAGGGCTTAGCAGTCTGCTGCCTGGATGGCCCAGTCTGTCTGAGAGTGTGGCCCAGCCTCGACTCTGCCACCCGGTGCCCCCACCTTATCCTTGAGCTGCTGGCAGAGCTGCAGGGAGACGGTGAAGAAGACGAGGGCATCATTGAGCCACGGGATCACAGACTCCACTTTGTGGACGTGGCTCACCTCCAGACGCTGGGAACCCCATTCGCTGTGGGGAGAGGGGAGGGTCCCTGAGCCCCCAGCCCCTGAAGTGCAGAGGGCTGGGGTGTGGAGGGCGCTCCAGGGCACCCCCTCCCAGCAGTGTACTTACAACATGGCCCCAGGGCTGTGAAGCACAGAGCCTCCAGACGGGCGGAAGTTCTAGGCAGAAGAGCACCAGACCCGGTTAGGCCCGCAGGGTTGTAGGGCATGGACCTGTGGGGGCGGTGGTGGGGAGGTGGGCAGGGTCCTGCTCACCTTGGTGGAGTTGGGCTGCAGGGCGTGCAGCTGGTACACAGTGAGGCAGAGCTTGTTGAGGTTGATGTAGACATTGACCAGCACGTCGGAGGGCAGGGCAGGGGCAAACATCCGCTGTGGGCAGGCAGGCAGCATGAGGGCTGGGCAGGCACAGGACCCCCAACAACCACCTGGGGGGAATCCCAGTCCCCATGCTATGGACTAGGGCTTCCACTCTTCCCAGGTGCCCCAGGTAACTTCCTGCTCCACCGGGCTTGGGAACCACTGACTCAGACCAAGGGTGATATATTTGGGGGACATAGGATGGAAGCCGAGGATCTGATCCCAGAAAACTACAGAACTCTGACCGATGACAATCTGGGGCTTCCAGGACCCCTTGGCACCTGTATCCCTCCCAGGGGACCTCCTCTCCTGGCCTGTGGCACTGACCGTGAGGCCGCTGGCGGCGATCTCAGGCAGAGTGAGGGTGGCTGGGGTGGTGAGCCGGTTGCGAGCTCTGGTCAGCTGCAGCATCACGGCGTCCATCAACTGGGGGAAGGGGGCTGGTCACAGCTGCTGTGAGGGCAGCAGGTCCTGGTCCTGATCCCACCCCCATCAACCCCAGCCTCATGAAGCGACAAAGTTATGGGGGCTCCCAGCTCTGCCCTGGTGGTCCTGGTCTCAGGGCCTGAACCCCTAAAAGTGGAGGGCTTGTAAAAGATGCAGCTGGGGGTGGAAGGCAGGACATCTGCACTGTGGACCACTGCTCCAGGAGGTTCTACCATAGGATCTTGGGTGCTGATCCAATAGGTAATGGAAGATCCCAGGAGTCAGTCTAAGAGCTTGGTGGATGGGGGTGAAAGCAATTAAGGAGTTTAGAAGAAGGGGCCCTAATCCAACTAGGGTGCAAGGGAGGGCTTCCTGGAGGATGCAAAGTGACAGCTGAGTTGAGGACTTAAGTCAGGCACCAGCTCCATTTTCACAGGTGAGGAAACTGAGGCCCTGAAGGGATAAGGTCACATAGCTGATAAACAGTAGAACCATCTGGAACTCATCCCTTCCCGTTGCCACGGAGCAAAGCCCTGGCTTGGACTTCTCAGAGCCCCAGATTCCACTGCTTCCAGATGTCGCTGTGGGCCCTGCAGTGGCCTGGCTCCCGGAAACGCAAAATTGTTGGGCGGACGCATGGGGGCTGGACATTACACCCCCAGGGCAGTCACAGTTCTGGGAGGGTCCTGAGTCTATCTAGTTTTAAGTTTCCTATGAGGAACCAGAGGTCCAAAGAGGGTAGGTGAACCACCTTAGGACACACAGAAAGTCAGGGGCAGAGCTCAAGCATGAGTCCGGGGCATCCAGGCTCAGCTGTTCCCTCCATGCCTTATGAGTCGACTTTGTTAATCATGGTTTTTCTATTGCTAGTACTACTACTAGCAGCTACTATTTACAGAGCACCAACTAGGGGCTGCTTTACTTACATTATCACAATTGGTAGTCACTACCTCGTCCCCCTTTTTACGGGGTAGGAGAGGATATGGAGGCACAGAGTGGCTAAGTGACTTGAGGCTGCACAGCGTGTAGTGGAGCCCCTAGGATCAGAACTGACGTCTGGTTCTGGAGTGTGGGCCGTGAGCCATTCGACTGGCTCTGCGTACACTGAGAGATGAAGGGCTAACCGTCAGCTATACTTGAGGACATGAGGGCAGAGCTCTCAGGGGCCTAGTCGGGGGCCATGGCTGGGGTGGGGAACCTGGCTCCTCTGCACCTGCAGGAAGCTCACCTTGAGGACTTCTGCTCCTGTCCTGAACTGGTAGTTCTCATCCCGGTTGTCCAGGAGGTAAATGGCTTGGCTCACGTGGTTCCTGGCATCCTGGATCTTAAAACAGCGCCAATGAACAGTCAGTGGGCTGGGCCCCAGCAGGGAAAGGTGCCAACTTCAGAGCAGCCACAGTCTCCTAGGTGCCAGCCCATGGGCTCCCACTCTGAGGGGCTATCATCCTGGGAGGGGTTGGTGGGTGCTGCTTGCCTGACCCCTCCCCCATAGATGTTGCCTAGCTGGGTGCTGGGCATATGGCTCAGACTGAGGCAGCCTCGGTCCCTGGCCTCATGTAGCTCACGTTCTAAAACAGAATAGATGGTAACAGAGTAAAGCCACAAGATAACAGACTGCACGCATGACTCGCACAAGGAAATAAAACAGGCTGATGGAGGGGAAGCCTCTTAGATGGGGGGCATCAGAGGAGGCCTTAGGGAGGTGAATTTTGAGCTGACACCCATGTGATGAGAAAAGCTGGGGGAAAGGACATCAGGCAGAGTGACAAGCACAAGCAAACGCCAGGAGGTAGAGACTGTTCATGGCCAGTTGGGGTGGTAGGGACAGAGGCTAGAGCCCAGTCATGTAGGAGTTGGTAGGGCGTGGACTTGGTCCCCCAAAGCCATGGGAAGGCCCTGGAGGCTCTGGGCAAGAAGTGACTTGTTCAGGGGGATCCCTGTGGTTCCTGCTGGGGGACTGGGGGCCTACAGAAGGACAGGTTCTCTAACTCCCACAAAGCTAGGCTCTAGAACCTCAGGCCCCGCCCATTCCAGCTTCACTGCTAGGAAACACCTTCCGGGGCTTGCTGTGGCCACAAATCCCCACAGTGGCCAGCCCCTGGAGGCCTGCAGGCCTGCCCCTGCCTGCCCTTGTGGCCTAAGCCTTGGCCAGGGAAGGGTCTGGTTACCTGCTGCAGCTTCCACTGCTTGTCCTCCCGGAAGGCGAAATGCAGCAGCTGGTTGTTCCGGGGCATCTTCAGGTTCACGTCCTGATGGGCAAGAGAGGGATAAGCCAGCAGAGGGATGCCCTCCTGCTTTTGGCCACTCTGAGCCCTTGAGCCAGGGGCAGAAACAGGGTGTGTGTGGTGACTCAGGCCCCAGCCACTCCTGTGGGGTGGGGGGAGGGGGCGCAGATTCCCAATACCTTGGCCATTGGAGGGGGGGGGCGGCGGGCAGGGAATGAATAGGGAGGTCAGGAAACAGGAACTCAGGTCCAAGAGGAACAAACAAATGAAAGGGAAAAGAGGCCAAGAAAGGGGAAGCTCGCCTCGGCTGGGAGCAGACGTGTGACTGTGGGCAGATAGGGAACATTTACACAGATAACAGACTGAATGCCCACCCATGAAGGAGAGGGACCTTCTCCCATGCCTTGGCGCCTGGCACAGAATCGGGTGCAGATGGAGCTTAGATGTTAGCTGATTCCGCTTTGATCTGGGGCCAGCCTTACCTGCCAATGCGCATGCTTCACAGGCCTAGACTCTGGGCTAGGTTGTGTGCAAAGCATCCTCTTCCTGCACCTCTCACTGAAGCCACACACCAGTCCCACGAGGAGGTTGGGGGCTGTTGTCATTTTACAAGCGAGGAAACTGAGGCCCAGAGAGGTCAAGGATGCTGCCCAGAGTCACACAGCCAGCTAATGGCAGAGCTGAAATAAGCAGGAGGCCCCCATACTCTTCCCCACTGGCTTCTCCAGCAACATAGGGAGGGGAGAGGGGCCAGGGACTCACCGCCTGGCTCAGCGCGTCCCCTTGCAGAGTCAGCACGCCCTTCACCTGGTCTGTGCTACAACACATAGGAGTCAAAACAGTGCCTGCAGCTGCCCCCTCCTACTACCCGGCCCATCCAGAAGGGCAGCCCCTGGCTGTCACAGGGTGGTCCGACTTGTCCCACCGCCTGTCTCACTGCACACCCTTTGGATATTGGAGCTGAAATCAGTCTGCAGGGCAGGGCCTTGGCTATGCCACCTCTCCTAGAGCGTATCCCAGGCGCACCCCCTGCCAAGGAGCCCATCCAGCCCCCTCCTCCCGATTTCTGCCCCAGCCTGGGCTCACCCACAGCTGCCCAGGATGAAATTCTCTTGCTTGGCAGGCCCCTCAGTGCCTGAGCCAGGAAGAGTAAAGCGGACAGCGGCCTCCTGGAGGACAGAGAAGAGCGGGGTAAAGTTCACCCAATCCAGCCCAGCAGTCTTTCCGGAAGCCCCATTCCCAGGTCGGCTAGGGGAGGAACAAGGTGGGCTGGCCTCACCGGAACACCCTACCCAAGCCTCCAGGGCACCTTTCGGCAGCTCCGGCCCCTCCCCCACGGCCTGAGTTTCAGGTCCTACTTGAGCAGGCACCAACTTCTTCCACATTCCCGGGGCGCCTAGCCAACCGTGTCCAACATGAGGATACAGAACAGAAACCATCACAGCTTGATTAAGGTGCTAGGGTGTGGAGAGCAGAATCGGGGAACCACAGTAGTCATGGCAACCCGCAATTCTGGCTATACTAGGCAATGCCTGGACATTTGTGAGTTGACTGGCTGGCTTATCTTCACGACAGCCCTGTGAGGCCTGTACTGTTATCTCCTTTTAACAAATGACGATTGAGAGGCCAAGAGAGGATGAGTACTTGGCTCATGTCACAATGGTGGGGTCCTTCAGATCTCAGGTTAAATGTCGCTGCTTCGAAGGCCTACCACGCCCCACCCTGGGGCTCAACCCAGACCCACGGAGCTCACACAGCTGCTTGTGGAATCGGGTAATTATCTGCTGGTGCCTCTGACTGGACAAGTCCACTGAAGGCGGGGCCCCGTCTGAACATCGCGCCTTCGGGCACACAGCAGGCTCTCGGGAGGAAGGCGCTGCCGGCCGGAGAGAAGAAGCCGCGCCAGGGGAGGCTAGGGAAGGTGGGAGCACGCCAAGGCCCGCGGCGACCCGCAAGGTGTTACCTTGAGGATGTCCTGCAGCTGCCTCAGCACGGCGTGCACTTCGTCGTGCAGCAGCCAGCGGAATTCCTCCTCCTGCGGGGACAGGCCGCTGTCAGCCGCTTGGGCCCACAGCCCCCGACCCATCCCGGCCGCCAGCCCGCGCGCCTCACCAGCACCGCCCGCTCCACTGCTGTCGCTGCCATTGCGGTCGCCATGGTCGCCGCTCTCCGCCCAGCGACAGTCTCCGGCCAGCCGCCCGCAGCTTCGTCTGTTCCCGGCGTTGGGACCCACCCCCGGCCGCCGATTGACTGAGCAGGAGCCAGCCCCGCCCCCCGAAACATTTCCCCCTGCCACCGATTGGCTGAGAAGGCATTCTGCCCCGCCCCCGGCTCACGACACAACGGAATGGAACGAGGCTGGCGGGTACGAAAACCTGCTCGCTCCGGCTGCGGGACGCGGTCCGCAGCTGCCACCAGCGCCGCGCTCTCGGGCCTGTGAGCTGCGGCCCTTGTCCCGCCCCTCCGCGGCTCTGATAGGGCGCCCTGCCTCGCTTGCACTCATCGATTGGCCAGCGGGATGGTTTGCTTTCGTAGTGCCTGGCGACTGGCCAATGGGGCATTTAGCTCTCGCCATCGTCCATCTGGTTCGGTTGGTCCAGGAGGAAGCGAGGGGCCGGCCTTCACGAGGCCGCCGCTCCGCGCCCGGCTCGCCGACTTGTCTCCCATCCTCCCCCTCCCTCCACCGCACGGCGGTCAGGCGGTTGGTGTCCAGGCGCAGGTTACCGCCAAGGTAATCAGTCACAGTTGTGTTATCAAGAAACGTTTTATTTTGCTTGCAGTAGCTTTTTGTTAATTGCACAAAATCATGTTTTGTTTTTGCCATTTAAACATTATCACACAATCCTATTCTGAAAGACAATTGTTCATTAAAAACAAAGCAAAAATAAAAATTCACAACCTTAATTACCTAGATTTGTCGTTTAAAGGAAAAAAAAAGGGGTGGCAGAGGGGCTTTCTTACAAGCTTTTCACAAGTGTCACATTTTCTCCTTAAAAGGGAAGGATTTCAAAACAAAGGTGAAATAGCTTAAACAGAAATATTCATAAAAAGGAACTTTACAGAACTGTCAACAATATTAAGACAACATTGACTAACCAGTTTCATTACAGCATCTCCCCCCACTCCCACCCCCCAGTGTCCAGCTAGGACTATAACAGGCTTTGTGTTCAGACAGAAAAGAATTCAAAATCCCAGTGAAATCAACTGTGCTAAAAACCCACAGGCATCTTCCTTGCCCCTCCCCCCCCATGTCTTCTGAGATCCCTTAACTGGGGTTCTGATCAGTTGGAAAAGGGCCAAGGTTGTGAGGAGGGACCCACACCAGTGTGGCCACCTCATTATGTATTCACTATAAATGCTGACCTGCGAAGTATGACTTTGGAAAATGCACCCCATGCAGAGGGAGACAACACTGACATCCTTTAGGTGACTTCTCCTTGTTCTCATGCCACATTTCAACCCTCTCTGGTCCCCTATCCAAGGAGAAATGCTAGGGCCTCGAGGATGTCTTGGATCCATCTGAGGGTCAGTTAGTTCAGGTTTGGTCAGGCCCAGCTCTCCTCTTCCCTCCTGACAGACCCCCAGGCCCTGGAAGCACTGAAGACCATGCTGCTGATGAAGACACTCATTCCTGTTTCAAGAGTTGAGCCTAAGACATGGTCATCGTTCAAGGCTGGGTCTGGGCCAAAGGGACAGACAGGAAGAAATACTGTCTCCATGGGCGGAAAAGGGGAAAGGGAAGAGAAGGGAGAGAGGTCGGCATGCGGAAGACTTGTGCAGGGACAGGTGGGAGTAGGTGGGGCCGTTGTGAGGGGACCGGGTCAGGGTGGATCTTCAGAACTACGTGCTGAGTGTGGGGCATAACGGAAACCGAGGGAGCCCATCCCCTTCCCTCCACTCCTCAGTTGGTGGCCCTCAGAGCCCCTTCCTAAGGGCAGGAATGCAAATCTAAATACTAAAACAGCCTGGTGAGGAGTGAGCCCCCGCTACACCAGAGTAAGGAAGTCTGATCCCAGCCCAGGGCTCCGCAGTGACGGTGACTTCTGGGACAGGTGCTGAAGAGCAGCGAGGACAGCAGGCTTCTGTGAAGCTCACTTATAGGCTGGCTATTTGCTGCTCTCCCTGGAAAGCCAGAGGTCTGTCTTCACTTGACTTTGCCAATCTCTTTTCACTTCACAAAGGCATTTCTGGAGAGTTGGTTACACACTGGTAGCTTCAACATGACAATCCTCCTCAGCTGGTCACCTGAGTTGGAGGGCCCGCGGGACCCTCTGTTTAGTCTGTGCTGGTGCACCTTGGCCCAGAGCCTCTCTCTGCAGGGGGTCCAGTGGGGGATGTGGACCTGACCACAGCCTCTGCTCTGAGAGCAGTGGGAAGGCTTCCAGCTCTCACTGCTGATTCTAGTTCTTTCACTAGAAGGGGTCTGAAATAAGACAAGCTCAGAAGAAGGAAAAAAAAAGCCAGGCAGCAGTTTCTGGGCAGCTTCTATCCTGGGGCAAGAGCCTGTGTGCGTGCGTGTGTGCGCGTGTGTGTGTGTGTGTGTGTGTGTGTGAACACACAGCCACCTGGCCCTAGGGCCAGTGCCCAGCTCAAGAGCTTTCCCATAGGCCAATCCTGCTGACACCCCTCCCCTCCCCAGGACCTCCAGGGGAGGAGTAATGCTGTGTACTGTGCTGATGCCAAGTCTCAAAGTCTGTATAAAAGGAGATGGAGACAGGTGGACTGGTCCAGAGTGAAGTCCCAGGACCCCAACCCCGTGTGAGGAAGAGGGGGTCAGAGGGAAGATTGGGGGGGTGGGGGCTTAGTGTATGTAGGCCCGGTACACGGCAGACATGTCGTTGTCAGACTGGTCCAGTGCCTTGGCTCTTTTGTACACCTGGAAAAAAATGAGATCGGCTCAGCCTCTGGTCACACAGCTAACTTACCAACATGGATTTGCTTCCTGCAGGTGGTTCTAGATGTGATTAGGCAGGTAGGTTCTAGAGTCCAGGCTGTCTGGGTGTGACTCCTGGCTTGTTCACTAACTGGGAAAAGTACCTCAGCCACTGCTTCTTGATATTACAGAGAAGGTAACAGGATTTATGGTGAGGATTAAATGGAGTGAGGGATGTAAAGTGTTCAGAGGGGCCGGCCGAGTGGCGCGTTGGTTAAGAGCTGGCTTGGGACGCCAGAGGGCCCCGGTTCGGATCCCACATATGAGGGCCAGTGACACTGCCCTCTACAAAAAAATTAAAAAAAATAAAGATGTGAAGTAAAATAACAGGCAAGAAAAGGTTATAAAAAAAATAAAGTGTTCAGAGAGCCAGCACAGAGGCAGGGCTCAGCGTCGTTAATAATAACTATGTTCCTTCCTGCTGAAGACCCTCCAAGGACTTCCCATGCTATTCTCTGGGCCACTGTCCTCACCCTTTTCTCTTCATAGGACACCTTTCCATCAACAATGGCTGGCTCCTTCTCCATCGGCTCGAAGGCCTTTCCTAACCCTCTCATCTAAAGCAGCAGTTGCCCCACTTTACCCTGGTCGCCTCATTACTGTTTGATTTTATTCAGATTTCTGACCATCTGAAATTCTTACCTGTTTAAATACTTAAGTGCTTATTTTGTGCCTCTTTCCATTAAAATGTAAGCTCTACAGGAAGGGAAGGGGCTGCACCCCAACATATCCCCGGAGCCTAGTACGGTGCTTGGTAATTAACGGCCACCCCAGAGACACTAGGTGAATATAAAAAAGTATGAAAAGAATTAAAAAGCCATCGTTCACCAAGGGCAGTATGGCGTCCAGTCATGCCGAGGGAATGCAGCTCGATACAAGATTCCTCCCACATAGCCAGCTGCGTTTTTTTTTTTCTTGTTTTAAACGTAGTCCAGTTGGAGCCATACCTGAGTGTCCATTACAGCTCAGGTATAGCTGTCAACTCAGAATGAAGGCTAAATAAAGACCTTTTCAGATAAAAGAAAACCAATCGTCACCAGCAGACCTGCATTACAGGAAATGCTAGAGCAGGTTCTAGCCTAGCCCAAAAGAAATAATACCAAAGAGAAATTCAATTCTTCAGAAAGGAATAGAGAGCACTGGAAATGGCCAATTAGAAAAAGTTATTTTTCCTCTTAATTTCTTTAAAATACATATGACTACTTAAAGCAAACCACTCCAACGTTGTCTAGTGCTTTTAAAACAAAGGCAGATATAACACATAGGAAATCTGTACCCTAAAGCAGGGGTTCTCAACCTGGGCCAATTCTGCCCCCCAGGGGACCAGTTGGTAATGTCTGCAGACATTTTCTATCAACTGAGGAGGTGCTGCTGGCATCTAGTGGGTAGAGGACAGGGATGCTGTTAAACATCCTGCAACGTACAGGACAGTTCCCACAATGAAATGTCAGTAGTACCCACGTTGAGATACCCTGCCTTAAAGGATGAGGGACGGAGAGGTAAGTGCATCTACATTTTAGGTGAAGGGATAACTCTAAGTAGGCCGTGAAGTTAAAGATGCATAGTGCAATTCCTAGAGCAAAGACAGAAGAAAAATACTGCAGCGTTCAAAAGCCAATAGATAAAATGGAATCCTAAAAATATATTCAAATAACACAAAAGAAGGCAAGAAAGGAGGAGATGACAAACAAAAGCCAGAAGGGACAAACAGCAATCAAATGATAAAATGGGAGTTCTGAACTCAATCACACATCAATAGACTTCAAGACAGACTAAACATTAATGGACTTGTTAACCTTAAGATGCAAACAGCAGAGAGCCTAAAGTCACACCATCCAAATGGCCAGCGAGTGCCACGCTCCACGGAGACATCAACCAAAATGTCTGTTTCCAAGCTAATGAATCATGGTGGAGGTAAGTCGGAAATCACCTCACAGAGAATAGTTGAGGAAATCGCCTCAACACAAGCCACACATGGAACCTTCAGAAGTAATGACAGTTAAAAACAAAGTCATCAACAAAAAAAAGATAAAACACACAAGGAAATCTACTGCCAAGAGAACCCCCAGGTAAAACAAACAGGAGGAACCTGAAATTGTACTGGAACCTGAAAGAGTGAAATAAATACCCTGACAAGGAAGGGACAGAAGACACAGAACTCAGGGACAAAAGTTTATGGACCATGAAAAGGCAGGTCTGAAAAGAGCAGTACTTTGGTTTTGTTTTTTACATTTTCTTTGCTGGGATAAGCTACTTGAGACCTGGTAAGTATTTAACTTGAATGAAAATGTGAATCAGCTTATAGCACTGGAAGCTAGTTTCTGAAATAAATAAATCTGCGTGTTTCATAACATGTGTTTACTGTAGCTCTATGGTAAGGCCAAATGCTGCTCAACTGGATTTTTTTAAGTTTGCATTTCTATCAGGTTGAGATGAGCAAGCCGCACTTCTAAACAACTATTTTCAGAAAGTGCACGTGTAGGTGCTTAACATCATTCAAAAGTGTTAATGACTAAACACTCCAATGAATAGGTAGATATTGTCAGAATGGATAAAAATGCAAGCTCCAATTACAGACTGTGCGAAAGATTAAATATAAAGACACAGGTTGAAAGTAAATGGATGGAAAAGCTATGCCATGAAAACAGTAAGCATGAGAAGGCTGTAGCATCTATACTAAAATCAGACAACAGGCTTGAAGACAAAGACTAAGAGGGACATTTCATAATAATGACAAGGCACAGTCATCAGGAATACATACGCATAAATGGCTAAGAGCCAAATAACAAGAGTTGCAAAGGCATTAAGCAAAATGGACAGTTAAAGCGAGAAACAAACAATCCCATAATTACAGCTGGAGATTTTAATATCCCTCTTTCAGCAACTAAAAGAGCCAGAGAGAACGGTCAGTAAATGCAGGGACACGTTAGGGATTTCCTCACATAAGCCCCCAAAACCAAGACTGTAAGGTTGTTGCCTTGAGCAAAAGCTCGGTGGTCAACCGAGCGAGGCTGGGTACTTGCCACTGAAATCACTGTGTGCTCAGCCAAAGTCCTTGAAACTGTTTTGCTCCTCTTGAGCTAAAAAACAACTTAGACTAAGCATTTCTCCCTCAGCCTTAGGGGCGTGCTTGTTATTTTCTACCAACTGTTTCTCTGTTATCTCTAATAAAAGACTAAAGTCAGCCAGGAAGCGGGGTCAGACTGCTGTCTGTCCTCCTCCCCGCTCTCTGCATTATGTATTCTGTCTCCGCCTTGGCGTCTCTGGTCACAAGCCCGACAAATGGTGCCCTGTGTGAGGAGCTTTCAGGATGCCAGGAGCCCAAGAAAGGAATTTGGATGTCCACATCACCCGGTAAGGGGACAACGGGCGGTTGCAGTTTCCCCATCACGCCTGTGGTGGAGTTGAACGTCTTGCTTTCGCTATCGGGAGGAATAGCTTTCTTTTTCAATGGGGGTGGACCTCTCTAAGGAACAAAAAGATCATCTTTTATAATTACGTAGCCTCTTACAGGCCACAGGATACAAAGTCCCCCCTACTTCTCAACTCGCTGACTTTCTTTGGGTGGTAGACAAACAATGCCCTTGGTATCCATAATCTGGTTCCCTTAAGCTGGATGATTGGGAACACATGGGACATTGGCTTTGCCAGTCAATGGGCCCAGTTACTATACAACATTTAACAATCTAAAATTTATGTCGCCTGGCTATATGTCCTATCCAGGGCGTTCCCTCACCATTTGAGAAAAAAAATTTTAACCCAAACATCTCCTTCACTTCAGGAACTTATGTATAAGATGCACCCTTTTTAGAAAAATTTGGGGTCTAAAACTGGGTGCGTCTTACACAGTGGTTGTATGAGCGCAAAAAACAAGCGTGAAAAAAGCAGGAAATGCAAGTAAAGAAAAAACAAAACAAAACTACAACCACATAAGCCCCCAAAACCAAGATTGTAAGCTTGCTGCCTTGAGCAAAAGCTTGGTGGTCAACCGAGGGAGGCTGGATACTTGCTATTGAAAATAGTGTGTGTGAAGCCAGAGTCCTTGAAACTGTTTTGCTCCTCTTAAACTAAAAAACAACTCTTAGACTAAACATTTCTCCCTTAGCCTTAGGGACGTACTTGTTATTTCCTACCACTTATTTCTCTATTATCTCTAATAAAAAACTAAAGTCAACGAGGATACAGGGTCAGACTGCGCTGTCTGTTCTCCTCTCCGCTCTCTGCATTACATATTCTGTCTCATCCTTGGCGTCTCTGGTCACAAACACAAGTAAAGATGACCTGAAAAACATCACCAACCATCTTGACCTAATCGATATCTGAAGAGCACAGCACCTAACAACTACAGCACAGTTGTCTTAAGTGCACACAGCACAGCCAATAAGACAGACCATCTGCTGGGCCGCAAAACAAGTCTGAATAAATTCAAAGAGTTAAAAATCATACAGGGTGTACTTTGACCACAAAAGAGATACATTATAAATCAATAACCATTAGACATCTAGGAAAACCCTAAATATTTGATAAACTTTTAAGTAATCTACAGGTCAAAGAAGAAATCATAAGGCAAGTAAATAGGCATGGCTCGGAAGGAAGTGTCCAGTCTTAAATGCTCCTGTTAGAAAAGGCATGTGTAAAATCAGTGACCTAAGGTTCCATTTTGAGAGGTTATACAAGGAGCAAAGAAAAGCCAGAATAAGTAGAGAGGAAAATGACAGAAGAGAAACAAAGGGAAGCCTGCTGGGACTTGTGCCTCTTGCAGTTAGTTACCTCATTGGCTGCAGCTGCCATAGGAGTTGGATGGTTGACGGCATCGCCCAGTGCGATGGCTAAGCGGAGATCTTTCTGAATGTATTTCAGGTAGAAATCAGGCTTAAAGTTTCCTTGCAGGATATCTGAGGAAGGAAAGCCACTTATCAGAAGAACTGAAAGGACTCTAAATAAGAAACCACTGGGCCGGCAGAATGGCTCAGTTGGTTAAGAACTCCCTCAAGAGTGTGAGCTCTGAGCAACAGCAGTTCGAGTCCCAGCCCGAGCTGAGCTGCCAACAGGTGGCAGGATGGCTCAGCTAAACAATAAAATAAAATGCAAGAGAGGCCAAAGGCAACTTACTTTGGCACTTCTGGTCCAGGAAGATGCTGGCCAACTGCCCTTGATTGAGGATGTCCAAGAGTGTCTGCTGAGACTGGCCTGTCACTTGGGCCAGGGTCAGCCCTTCAGCAATGGTAGCCATGAAGCTCCCCTGGACCATGTTCACGATCAGCATCATCTTGGCTGCGTTGCCGACCTCACCTGCCCAGGGCAAAGAATCATGGTCATTTCCCCAGGATCCTGAAGGCAGGGACTTTCTGCCCACCCTCACCCCTGCTCGGACCCACCTCTACACCCAGGGAAGGCCCCATTCACCTGCCCCCGACAGAACTGGCTCTGACCCTTCTGGCTCCTCCTCCTTCCAGGCACTGACTGTGCAAGTCAAAGGAAACCTTCCCATGGGGGCCCCAGGCAGAGAGGCCGTGCGGGATTGACGCTGTCATCAGTGCAGTCTAGAGGGGATGTGGCCCGACAGGTGGGCAGATATGTTACCTAGAAAGAAGGAGGTCTTCCCCATTGCCTGGAAGCAGCTGCTGCAGTCCTCATATAAGCCCCTGTCTCCGGCTGCTAAGATCACCAACATCCCATCATTAGACAGCTGCTGATTCCCTGAGACCGGGGCTTCCAGAAAGCGGCCCCCCCTGGACACAATCACCTGGAAAGGAAAGTCACAGCTTCTGGAGGCCTTGCATCTCCCAGGGATCTTGGGCAGGGAGCGTCCTGGCATGGGAGGACTTGTCCCTCCACACCGAGGCCCCAAAGCCAGCATCTGTACCAAGGCGCTGGACTAACGCCGTGGGAGGGTCAGCAGACTGTCCTCCAACAGATGCCTGAGTCACATGCAGTGAACACAGCCAGGCTGGGCTCGCCTTCCCATTTACTCTGAATTGCTTTCAAAGACCATAGACTGGAACCAACTGCTGGCTGACCACACCTCCCTGACTTCAGCCTCCCTCACTTGGCCCAGCAGCTTAGGGAGCAGAAATACTCTGCTAGTGTCAAATGAAGATAGATGTTTAAACCAAAAAAGGCTGTGCTGGCAGCCGGGACTGCTTGTCACTGTGAGGACCTGATGCCTATCCTAGCTGGGCAGCACCTCTCCACTCAAACTAGCTGCCGCTTTGAAGGTAAAGAGGGAAGACAGGCTAGTCTCAAGGCCTCTGCTCTTCTCTGGCTTTGGCTCTAGTCTAGAGTAATCAGGTTGTCCATACTGGGTTTTGGAATCCGTCCAAAAGGATGCTGGAGGGCTAGCCTGAACAAGGCCGCTACCTGGGCCAGCTCGGTGACTGTGTCAGCATCCACTGTTGACATGTCCACGTAGCACTTCCCGGGGCGGATCCCTTGCAGCACGCCACTGGGGCCCAGCACCAGCTGTGGGGACACAAGGGAGAAGCAATAGCCCAGGCCCCCAGCAAGATGCCCAGGAGCCCCTTAGACCTAAAGTCAGAACCCTTTTGCTTTTTTGGCTCATTTTCTGATTAGGAGCTAATAAATATTAAGGCTGAAAAGGGAAGAGCAAGTAAATAAACAAGGGAAAGAAAAGTATTTCTAGTATGTTCCCATTTATTTTTAAAAAGAATGTTTCTTTTTTAAAAAACCTCCCATTTAAAGGATGGAGCCTCTGTGCTTATGTTTTGGTGCTTCTTTGGATTTACTTGGATTAGACTAGTCACCAGTTCAACAAGATGACTATTGCACTTGAGCTCTTCCAACATACAAATTACAGCAACAGCTAAACATAGGAACTTAGCACATGGACCAAAAGCACACTCAGCCCCGAAGCTTCCAGGTCAATAAGAATACATGGGTATGGTCAGGAACCATTTTAGCACAGACCTCAGGGACCCTAGCCAGTTTCATTCTTTGTTCTGAATGAAAGGAAGTCTGTATTCAATTTATGCAGACACCCTTCACAATGGGAGATGGCCCCCCAGATGGGAAACCCACCCCCCCCTCCCCCCACATGCACTCACTCACTCAGTGTGCAGGGAGAAGGGGAGGAGGCCTGCCAGCTTTCCTGGCCACAACCTGAGACGCTGAGGGGAGGGAGGGGATGATCCTTACGTCCTTGGCCGCCTTTGGATCCGACACACAGGCAAAGGTGATGTCACAAGTAGAAACAACTTCAGCGGGGGTTCTTCCTAGGCGGGCCCCCTCCTGGATGAACAAATCACACTGCAAAAGTCACAGATCCCAATGTGAGCTGCAGGCAGTGCGCAACAAACATGCCAGCCAGGCCCGAGATCCAGTGCCCAGTCCTCCTGGCCGGCCTTCCAGGGCTGGAGGCTGAAGGTGAGGCTGGGAGGCCCGACGTCTTGTGGGAAGTGGATGGGGCCTCTTACGGACTATCCTGTGCTCTTACACACCTGGTGCCTAGAATGGTGTTCTACTTCACAGTAAGCACAAAACAAGTGTCTGCGGAAGGATTCCTGTTTGAAGAACAGGATGTGAGCAGCAACTGTCCGCAGCCCTGTGTGTTTGTCTTGGCTTTGGCAAAATCACCCAGCTCCCTGTGCTATCAGCACTGCGTTGGGAGAAGCAGGGCTGGGATGTTGACAGATATTTCGGGGGTGGTGTGGGGGAGTAGTAGTGGTGGTGGTGGTGGTGGTGGTGGTGGTGGTGGTGGTGTGTGTGTATGTGTGTGTGTCTAAAAAACACTAACTTTTCTGAGAATTAAAATCACCCAGAATATCTAACAAAACACACCATTAATATTTTGGCGTATATTTTTCCCATAAGCATTTAAAAAAGTAATTAGAATAATTTGAACCTACTGTTTTATATTTTGTATACAATTTTTAATATTTTGTATGATTTACACTTATTCATGTTGTAGTCTTTCATAACTATCATTTATAATGATGGCTGCAGAATATTCCATCGAGAGATACATCTGGATTTTCTTTTTTTTTTTTTAAGGAGGGTGCAGCTCACAGTGACCCATGCGGGGATCGAACTGGCAACCTTAGTGTTATCAACACCACACTCTAACCAACTGAGCTAACCAGTCACCCCTGCATTTTCTTAATAGCTCCCCTGCAGTTCAATATCTGGCCTGCTTTTAATTATAAATGACTCCAACAAATATCTTTACATATAATACTTCTCTATGTTTTGAATCTAGGTCTCTGTAAGTAGACTAAAACAGGTTCTAAATGGTTTTAAAGCTCTTAATCAATGGAGACAAATGGCTTTCCAATGGGGCTGAGTCAATTTACAATGACCACCAGCAAGGTCTCAAATCACCAGCACTGAGTATATCATTTAACAATAACAAGCATCCATAAATACACTGAAACTTTATCCTATTTGATGATTTAACCAGCCAAAAACAGCAACTTTTTGTTTGATATATTTTGATTACTCTGATTACTATAAGCCCTTTTATTTTTATTTTTATTTTTTTTTAGCTGAGCCATCCTGCTACCTGTTGGCAGCTCAGCAGCTGCTCAGCTCGGGCTAGACTCGAACCGCTGTTGCTCAGAGCTCAAACTCTTGAGCGAGCTCTTAACCAAACTATAAGCCCTTTTAATACCTTTATTGTTTCCTCTTTCGTGAGGTATTTTTTATCTTAGTTATAAAACTGTGTTTCATAAAATCAAGGTATTACCCTTTTCCAATCATATTTGCTATAAGCACTTTTACTTGGTATACCTTTCAATTCTGTTTATTTTTGTTGTGGGGGGTATTATAGAAAACTATTCATTTTTTTTCTTTAGTGATTTCGATTATATCTAGGCTTAGAAAGATCTATTAATATTTAATTTTATTTTCTTCTGGTTTTTCCTTTTGAAAGATTCAGCAATCTATTTGGAACATATTTTAGTATGCAGTAGGAAGTGAAATTAGTGTTTCCTCAAATTTCTAACCAGCTGTCCTAAATATAACTTACTGACCCATTCTTCTTCTGTCTCCCTGACTCACAGCAAGCTACGCCATCAGAGGAAGCCCCAGGCTTTCCGGTCTACCTAGTGGTCTGTGTCCTTTACGACAGCACTGAAATGCATCTTGGCATTTCAGTAGGTGGCTTTATATCCTGTTTTAACCTTTGCTTAGGAGAGGCCTCCTCATTACTCCTCCTTTTCTGAAAATTGAAAAATACGTTTCCTCTTTTTCCAGAAAAACCAGAGAATCATCGTTCAAATGATTTTTAAAAAAATTCCGTGGGGATTTTCAGAAGGATTAAATGGTTCTTTAAAAATGACATTTGCTACATAATTTGTAGTAAATGCACAGGCATTGTGCCGAGTCCTTCGCATCATCTCATTTAGCCTTCCACTCCCCTGAAGTAGGAGCTTTTGCTGCCATCATTTCACAGGCGAGGACTCTGAGGCCTAGGGGGGTAAACTGTCTTGCTGAAGAGGGCAAGCAGCAGGGTGTGACCTGGAATCACTCATAGGGCTGCCCAATTCTAAATCCATGCTCTACCTGCTTTGCTCTACTGCCTTCCTGTAAATTCATCTGGAAAGAATGGCTTGTTTTATTAGTTTGGCTTTCTAGTCAGGAAAACAGGATGACCTGAGGCATTAAATGTACTCATAAGCAAACCCTCTGGACCTCCTGATGTTCTGCAGCTGTGCATCTCTAGACTTCCTGGTAACTAGCCTTGAATCACAATTATCCTACCCGTGGGGCCTCTGAGATCTCACTCCTGACTCTGCAGAGCCTCCTCAATGCCCAGTACCTGAAGCCCAAATCCCTTAGCATGGCCTTCAGTGCCCTTTTCTCCAGGACCCCTTCAACTCTCCAGCGAGTTCCTTGTTGTTCTCGAAAAGGACTTTGTTTCAGGGAAGTGAATTTTTCACTTTGCCTAGAGCATTTCTGTTAATTCAAATCCATCAGCTCCACCACCTCCTTTAGCAATCACACCTCATTTCAGCTGTCACCTCGCTGCACACAAGGGGATGCGCACCCAGTCATCTCACCAACACGCTCAGCCACACCTTGCTCTTCAAAAGGCTAGTCCTGTCAGTCTCTCTTCCTTTGTTCCTGGCAAGTACAGTGCTTTAGTTTCCTGGCACTGACTACAGTTCTTCACCTCTTCTAGGATGAGAACTTGATGGGAGTCAGGGCCTCTCTCCATTACAAAAGGTGTATATTCACAGCCCTGGGCACGTGCAGACCCCTGGAAGCTGTGGACTGCCACCTTAGGTTGGGAACTTCTAAACCAGTCCTGTCCAATATGATAGCCATAGCCAGAGGGGACTATTTATTTAAAAAAAAAAAAATTTAAAAATAAAAGATTTTATTGGGGAATTAGGGGAGGAGAACAGCACTGAGGAATTGGGCAAGGAGAACAGACAAGTTGCTGTCCCTTTGTTCCTCAGTCCAGCCGTGGAGAACGTCGCCCCACTGGCCCATGTTGGTATTATCACTGCACTCTTTCCGGGTGAGGCAGATCAGTCTCTGGCCATTGGATGGCGGCTCACCGCAGCTCTTGGCAGCTCATGCCGGCCGCTCACACTGGCTGCCAGGCACCCACTCATGGTAGCTTACGGCAGCCCATTGCAGCTTCACTGCAGCCTACGCCGTCGCTGGCGACTCACGGCAGCCCAGCTCCAGGCCGAGCCGCTGAGAGGGCGCAGCGTCACTGGCCGTAATGTGGGATCTGAACCTCCTGCTCAGAGCCGGCATCCCAAGCCAACTCTTAACCAACGCGCCACTTGGCCAGCCCAGAGGGGACTATTTAAGTTTAAGTGAAATGAAATTAAAAATTCAGTTCTTCTGTCATACTGTCTTTGTTTCAAGTGTTCAAGAGCCACGTGTGGCTCGTGGCTGCCATACTGGACAGTGCAGATATAGACCATCGTCACTGCAGAATGCTGTTACCACCATCCAAATGACAGGGTACAGAGTAGCCTCTGAAAAGGATAAAGCAGATCTACCTGCATGCACTCCTCATCAGTGAATTCCTCACACACACACACTTTCATGGGCATGGGAGAAAGCATGCAAACACACAAGCTGGCGAGAGGATGGCAGGGAGGGGGAAATTTTCACTTCACTTTATACTCCTGGCTGTTTTTAAGTTTAGTTTTTATACTAACATCCTAAGCTTATTTATCTACATCTCTACCTGTCTAAACTAAGAACGTGGTTTCCCCTACTTTACCACGTGCAGAATGCTGAACGGGGCCAACAGGAAGACATTCCCATCCTTAAGTTACCCCAACTCCGTGAGTCCACCCTGCCTGACAAGCACCACTCATCAATGCTTACTTTTTCTGCAGTCCGGTTCCAGACAGTCACCGTGTGACCCATTTTTAGCAAGTTGGAGACGATGCCACTTCCCATGAGGCCGAGGCCCAAAAATCCTATCCTGAGAAAGAGAAAGACGGGTCAGTTCAGGACGGAGGAGGGACAGGGTGAGGAGGTATCCTGGACACGGCAGATCCACTTCCTCATAAACCTGGGGTGGGACCTAAGACCACCACTAACACCCCTCAGCTGTGTGTAACTGACATGACTGCAGATTGTGCCTTTTATTATACCATTGTTTCAAAGTGTCCCTAAATTTATTTATTTATTTACTTATCTATTTATTGCTGAGCCATCCTGCCACCTGTTGGCAGCTCAGCTCGGGCTGGGAATCAAATCGGTGACCCTGTTGCTCAGAGTTCACACTCTTGAGTGAAAAGTGTCCCTAAATTTAAATGGGCATTTCTAAACCCTCTGCTGCCACAGTAAGAAGTATGACTCATGTGGTTTAAGGTAAGTCCTCCAAATAGTTTCCTTGCTGCTATGATAGAGGGTATAAATGTATAATTCCACGACAGTGAGAAAGCAGACATTTGTCTCTGGCTCTTGCAAGGGTTTCAAGTGCTAGGCCTTCAGGTGCCACTTTAAAGCACATCAGGATCTGTGACAAATAACTGAAGTGATGTGTCAGAGCCAGCCACCTTCCTCCACTGCAGCAATCAGATTCCCAGTCTTCCCCACCCTTTCCCGGCTCCAAACCTGTTCTACCTTTCGCATTCTTTTTGTTAGCAGATGGGCCTTGCCTTCAAAGCTTCGCCTGAGCTTTGGAGCCAACATTCTCAGTTGCATGAGTTTTTCCCACTCCTTTCCTCTCCCGCTCCTCTCCACTGCCCGCTGGCCCATCCTTTGCTCTCCACCATGCCCTTCTAACTGCAGGCCCATTATGACCCTTCTGAGACTCAAGTCCTCAGATGGACGCACTATGCTACCCTTCACTTCCTACAGCCTGCTCCTTCCTGCAACCCCAAGAACTTGAGGACTATTAGCTACTGCTGCTTTTATAGATGATATTTATCTTGCCTAAATGTCTTTGCTTGGTTCCTACACTTCTTTATCTCTCCTGGCATGTGACATGGCTTAATAATGCCTGTCTTGATTTCCTATTACATCATGTTCTAGTTTTCACCATGGGCTTTCTCTCAGCTCTAGACATACTCTGCAGCTTCTCCACTTTGAGCCGTGTTATCCTTTCAGTAGTTCCGGTCTCCTGTGACTCACATCTGCAGCCACCTCTGCAAACTGGCTCTTGTACTCAGTTTCTTCTAATCCTTGCTGGAATATGCACTCCTTACACTCTCTGTCCCAGTCTGCTAAGTCATTTGAATCAATTACTGAAAATGGAACCCACCATTTCTTCACCAAATGGCAACCCTGCCCACTAAGTTTTAAGCTGAAGCTTAAAAACAAGATCTTTGGTCATTCACAGCTATCTGGGTAGTGCAAGTTTTCCCTATGATTCTAAATCATGAGGCCTAATTCTGCTTCCATTTCTTGGTGTTCCAGGACACCAGGAGACCTGGATTTTTAACATGGCGGCTGACAGTCCCTTATGGTGTCCTTGAGACCAGGTGGAGAATGTGGACTAAGAACAAGACAGCTGGTTTGTTTTGTAGTTGGTTTCACACTCTTGTTAAAAAAGGGTTTGACGAAGGGGGGCAGTACAGGCCTTAAATAAAAAGCATTAACCCATCCTGTTTTTTAAGCCAACACAATCCTCATTAACGAATGGGTGACACCCATCTCCCTTTTTTATTAGCACATAACACGCCTCTATCTCCTTCACTCTACAAAAGGGAGCTCACTCAACATAACTGGTAGAATCAGTGGTATTGACGGCACAAAAAATGGTGAATGACATAAAAGAAGCACTGTGTTTAGTCTGAGAAAGCCCCTTTTCAAAGACAGACAGGAAACTCAGACTTGGCTACCTTGCTCAGGGGAATGCTCCTTCTCAGCAAAGAATCCTTTTCATCAGCACAACTCTGCAACTCTGGACACACACTGGCCAACAGTGTGAGTGTGGGTGTAAGCTAAGGTTTGGGGACCACAATCAAGGCTCTCTGACCTGCCTGGGTGGGACAGAGAGCACCAGGCAGGTGCATGGGAAGGACAGGGAGGCGACAGCAGGGAGAGCCAGGGAATGTAGGAAGACAGGCTGTATTCCAAATATCTTCATTTCTCGCCCCCCTACAGCCAAATTCAGGATTTTCATCACAGCTCCACTTAGCCAGTAGCAGCAGCAGTGTTTCTGGGAACTTGTCCAAAATATAAATTCTTGGGCTCTATCTCAGACCTAGTGACGGAGAAACCCCCAGGGGTGGACACAGCAATTGGGGCTGTGCTAGTGGCCTTCCAGGTGGTTTGGAGGCTCAGCATGAGAATATGGAACAGAGTGGTCCCTGCTTTAAGACTCACCAGTGAGCTAGGAAGCCAACTCCCCCGCACATTTCAGGACAACTTCTTTCTTCTGCCAAGTCAATTTACTCATAGGCAAGTCATCATCAGTAAGAATGACAACCTTCTCCCTCTCTTTCCATTCAGTCTCGGCAATAGTTGGGGCATAACCCTTAAAGAGTCCCCCTGGGGTCACCCCCCACTCCCCAGCAGAACCAGAGCCACAGGAAGCCTTTTTGTCAAAAGTCCTACTTTTTGTCTGTGGGTGTGATGCTGCCGTTCACGGCCGTGCTGTCTGCTGCCTGGATGGAGGTGGACCCCGTCTCCTAGGGAATGGAAGCACAAGTCATCAGGTCAGTTCTGCCTACAGCAAGGCCCCAGCGGAAGATAAAGATGAGGAGGCGTGGAACCTACGTACCTCTTCACATATTTTCAACTTCTTTGTGATTGCCTGGTAACAGACAGCTGGCTAATGAAGAGGGAGGAAAAAAGACCATTTATTAAACTGAATGTTCAACCAGTCTTCATTATAATGTACCTAAAAAGTTAGGCCTAGTGTGGGATATTAACATCAAAATCTTATTTGGTGTCCAATGTTATCGAACTTCCAGATGATACATGAGAAAATTAACACACATTACCTCACTCAACTCTCCATGCAACACTGCAAGGCTCTTTTGCTGACGATGACACCGAATCAGAGGCGTTAAGTCACGCGCCCAGAATTACAGAGCCGGTCAGTGTCACCAGGCTTGGAATCCAATTCTGTCCAACTGCAAAGCCACATCCTATCAGCTGATCCTATCAAGGCTCGGCCTATCAAGGCCATGGCCTTGCAGACACTTTGGGACACTTTCCCTCCACACCCTGAGGACTACGGAGACTGTCTCAGCCAACGAGCCTAGGAATGTGTCCACCCAGCAGCACAGGCTATCTCACCGGTGGCTGACAGCTCACAAGCTTTAGCTTCTGCTCTAGACTTAGAAGGTAACCACGAATGTCTCAAGCACAGGACTGCTGAGTTTTAAAAGTTTTTTTTTTGGGTGGTTTATTTTTTACTTATTTTATTTTTTTAAAAAAGATTTTATTGGGGAAGGAGAACAGACAAGTTGCTGTCCTTTTGTTCTTCAGTCTAGTTGTGGAGGACGTTGCTTCACTGGCCCATGTTGGCACCATCATTGCGCTCTTCCCAGGTGAGGCAGTCACTCGCTGGCCATTGGACGGCCACTCACGGTGGCTCACTGCAGCTCACGACCGCTGCTGGCCAGCCCCACTGCAGCCTACGCCGTCGCTGGTGATGCAAGGCAGCCCAGCTCTAGGTCGAGCTGTTGTTCACCATCTTAGCTGTAGAGGGTGCAGTGTCACTGGCCTGCATGTGGGATCCGAACCGGGGCTCTGCTGCTCAGGGCTGGCGTCCCAAGCCAACTCCTAACCAACGCGCCACTTGGCCAGCCTGGGGTGGTTTATTTTTAATCTTGACAACACTGTGATTCACGAGTGGGCTTCTATGTGACTTCTGACCTAGCTGCTCTGGGCAGGGTACAGGACAAGCCCAAGCTTTCAGATGAGTAAGGTAAGGCTCCAGTGGAGCAACACTCTCCCTCAGGCCAGCCCCTGACCAAGGATCAAGAACTTCAGGGAACAACTCACCTTCTCGGTCTGGCTGAGTAGGAAGTGATGGAAATGGGGGTCTGCATCTTTAACAGGCTGAAACCAGAAAATGATTAAATACAACAAGTTATCTTCCACCAAAGGTCTCTTCCTTCTGCCTGGTAACTGGACTCTCTCCTCTGGCTGAAACACCCCTGGGAGCTGGGCTCAATTTTACAACTGCCTGGAAATTCTTTCCCTGTTGTTAGTCTAAGCCTTTTATAGACACCCTCTGTTCTAGCTAGAGGAAAACTGGCTTCATGTGGGAAAGATGAGGTATTTTTGCCAGGCTGGTATACAAATTATTCTAATAACGCTGTGGGAAAATAGCAAAAGGCATACCAGTATTTTTAAAGCCCAACGTTCATCAGTCACGTTGGATAATCCAGCAGATGAAGCCCAATCAATCCTGAGGACTCTTTCTCAATTGTAGGGTTTTGACCTACTTGTGTCTGCTGTCAGACCCTTGAGTGTCTTGTCTCACTGAGGATCAATATTAATAAAAATAAAGAGGCAACGACTGAAGGACTTTCAAGGGCTTTTCACAATTAGGCCCAGGGACAGGGAAAGGGTATATCTACACCACCAACAGAATAAGGTATGGCTACTTCATCAAAGCTGTATATACAGACAGTGAAAGGGTGTTTATAAAGCAGCAAGTGAAAAAAAATTTGTGTAACGATCCCACTTTTGTGGGAAATAATCGTAGTCCCAACAACACAAGCTACACGTGGATATATCATTATATAAATGATGGCTGGTGTGTACCAAGGGGGCTGGAATAAGTTACATCAGGGTTAACAGTGAGCAACCTTGAGGGTGGAGGCCTGCACTCTTTATCTCATACTCCTCTGTACTGTTTGGCAATTAAACAAAAAAAGCCTCATACATAAGAAAAGGGGGAAAATGGGGCATCACAGCCACCTCAGGAAGATCGCTCTGAGGCCGGCCTATCCTGGCCCGAGGGAGAGCTCCTTACCTCGCTCACGGCCGGCTGCCATTTAAACGCAGCCATGGGTCCAGCCATCATCCCCTTCACGGTACTGGACTCAGGAATGGTGAGATCCTACAGAAGGAAGACAGATCATCAGGATGCTATGGCCACCTCAGTATCAGATGTCTTCCTGCACCAAGTCAGGGAGCACCTCTTCACTGCTCTGCTTCCCTTAGTCACATCCCACCCAGACTAAACCTCTAGCCAGCTCCATGCCTCAGTGTCAGTTCAAGCCCAAGTCTCCCCAGCCCTAGTTCTGAGGACCACCCGTCAGAAGAAACGGCAAGTTCTCAACACAGAATGAGCCTTCCTTCTATGTTCTTGAAATAAAGTGTTCTTATGTCTAAATTTCACAAGGATAGAGGTAACTGGAAAGCCCTGCTATGGTCTGCAGTGTGGTCAGCAGGTCACAGAAAATTCCTTGGGCAAATAATGAACATGAAGAAAACAGTACTGGCTTCAGAAGGAATCCACTAGATCTCAAGAAAAACTAAGAAAAGCGCGTGGTGCCAATGAGGAAATCTGCCCAACATTTTTCAGCTACTAAGTGATAAAGCCAGAATTACGTAGGGTGGTCAAGAGCCAAGAGCCCGCTCTCTCTGCAGACTGGTGCAAGGAGGAGCCCCAGCAGGACGGCTGCTCTTCTTCACCAGCGGCCTGGCCCACATCTGTCCTGGGCAAGGGGCCTGGTCCAGCTGTACAAATGGTCTGCTCCGGTCCCCGCCACCACCCACTTTGCCTCTACTCGCTTTTTCCATCTGCTACCTTCCTGGGCGCTGTGGTGGGCCTCCTGACAGTTCTACCTGGATATCTAGTGGGCATCTTGACACGCCCCCCTCTTGATTTCCCTGCCCACACTGCTCCTGCTGCAGTGTCCCCACTCGCAGAGAACAGCAATTCCATCTACCAGGCCGAGATCCCTGAAGTCCTGATGAACTCCATCCTCCCCTCTCCTCTAATGCATTGGCAATGATTATGGCTTTACAACTGGGAATTTGCAGCCCTTTCTTCTGGCCACCCCAGCTACTAACACCCAAGCTCAGGCCTCTGCCACCTGTCACTTGGACTGTAACAAAAGGAATCTCCCTGCTTCCACTCTGGACCCATATAGTCTAGTCTGTAGACAGCAGCCAAAGTGAAGCCTGTCAGTTCTCTGCTGAAAACTGACTTCCTGTCTCCCACAATCAAGCTAGACTTTGTTATCGTGGCCTACAGGGTCCTCCATGTGCTGCAACCCCCACTCCATGCTACCCTCTGACATCAGGTCCTGTTCCTCTCTCTCCACTTACCACTCTCCAGGCCACCTGCTTGGCCCTCCACCCTCCAACACACCACACATGCAACTGCCTCAGTGCCTTTGCACTGCTGGAAACGCTTCCGACAGTTATCTACTGGGTTCACACACTCACTTTAGGTCTCTGTTGAAATGTCACCTTATCAGAGTGCTTTCCCTGACCTCTCTGTACCTTCCCCCGTTGGAACATGCTGCTGCTGCTGACTGTAATGACAGCAAATGCTTTTACAGGGCTTACCATGTGCCAGACATTAGTGTAAATGTTATTTTCTATGTATATTCTCACGTAATCCTCACAACCTCATGAAATAGAACTAGTATCGTCTCCATTTTACAGAGGAGAAAACTGAGGCACAGAGAGCTTAAGTAGCTTTGCCTAAGGTCACAGAGCTAATAATGAGTGTGGTAGATGACATTCAAACCCAGGGAATTTGGCTTCAGGGTCTATGTTACAAGTTAAGTTCTATCAAAGTAAGAACTTTGCCAATTTTGTTTACTGTATATTCCACACTGGAACCTTTCCTGGCATATAGTAAAGGTGTTCAGTATTTATTGAAGAAATGAACATAAGAGGGGCCCTGTCTACCTTTCACGCTGTTTTATCTTTTGTTTATGGTAGAGATGCTCAATAAACATTTGTTGAATAAAGAGGTTTGGGGGAAAAAAGAGGCTTAGTGCAGTACTGCCTAAAATAATTTTCTGTCATGATGGACATGCTCTATATCTATGCTAACGCTGTTGCCACTAGTCACGTGTCACCGTGGAGCACCTCATAGGTGGCTAGTTCGAGTGAGAAAATTTTAAGTTGCATTAAATGTAAAAGGTCACCTGTGACTTGAGGCAGCACAGCTCTAGTGACTTGCCTAAGAACACAATGACAGAATAAGGAAGGTGGAGGACACAGCTCTCCATCTAGCACTAATCAAAGGCCTTGACTCGTAAATCAATGCTCTCTGCACTAGTCTGGGATTTCGGGAGAGTCACAGGACTAACAGTTCGATTGTCGGGGTGCTTTGTTCCCAGAGTTGGGAGTTCTCAGCTCAGGACTCAGAAATAAGAGCCCCAGAGAGAGGGTGAGAGTGTACCTCAGCATGGCTCCCACATGAAAGTCTAGACACAAACCCACCCCCTGCCTGCCTGTATGTAATTGACACCTCTGCCATCAAGGTCAGCCTTTTCCATTAATCCTCATGGGACAGGGGATTATGGCCCAGGACGGCAATCACCTGGGGCTTTGCCCAGTTATCAGCTTAGGCTACTGCTCTGTTTCAGAGAGGAGCTCGCCAGCCAAATGACAATTACTATAGCAACACACATACTCTTTTTAGACCACAGGATATATCAGATCATACGATGCACCAAAATTCCAAGCTCAGGCACCGATTCCCTATATCCCTAAAGGTGCTTAATCACTAGCCAAGCTCCTTCCTTTCCTGCTGACAAATCCTTCATTAGAGGCCGGGTCAAGCACGTAGACCTTGTAGAAAGGATCCCCCTGAGGGTCAATGGCAGGTAGAGCTCATGGATGGAGACCTGGCTCTGAGAACAGCAGTAGAAATGTTACTACCCTCCAATTAATAATTCAGACGAAAGAGCAAATTGCTTCTTACTGGGAGCGTGTGACTGTTCACAAGTCCCCAGCAGTAAGCCCAGCAACAGCCTCTGGGGTTGCTCTAAAACAACATTGTCCTCACTGCACAATGGGCTACTGCAGAAAAGTAACACAGGAATGACACTCATCAAATGCGTAATGCACTGCAGGTGCTGTCCTAGGTGCTTTGCTCATGTTACTCATTTAATTCTCACAGCACACCTGAGGCAGGTATCTTTCTTCTTCTCAATGCTTGGATGAGGAAACCAAGACAAAGGTAGGTAGGTGGCCAAGGTCACACAGCTATGGCAAGTCATGGAGTCACAATTCAAAGTCAAGACCCTCCTCCTAACCTCTTCTTTAGACTTCCCTTTATCCAAAAAGTTGTTTTTCTCCAGGGCCAGCAGGAGTTGATGAGGTCCATGGCTTAAGACACCAGACAGTGTGAATTTGGAGAACAGTATAAAACCGGACAGCCCAGATTCCTCTAGATCCCTGGAAATAAATTCAACTGGATGAAACTGGATTACTCCCCTGAAAAGCTCTTCACGCACTGCAGCTGACAGCTTTCTAAACCTTCTCTGCCCCTGGCTGGCAATTCCCTGTGCTCATGGTCACCCGGGACTGTCCCCACTGCTATAGATGCTCTCATCCCTTTGGTCATTTAACAGCACAAAGGACTTGCTCTGATGCAGAGGTCTCACAGGCTGAATCTAGCCCAGAGATGGTAAAATTTTGTTAGCTTCTAACATTTATTGTAAAATTGGAACACTTCACCTAAAAATCTTCATTTCCAGCTTCTCTTGAGACAAACCAGACCATCTGGCAAAAGCTGGCTGGAACTCTATGGACAGAGGTTGACCTCCCCGGTCTGCTGCCAACCCTAATGCTCTCAGCACCAAGGCAGGGCTGTGGAACCTCCTACTTGAGCCATTTCTTCTTGCATCAATTGGCTCCACTTGCTTCCATTGCCTGCCTGGTCTTGCTGGTGTCTGCATGTGCAAGTCTTGATCTGATCTCTAGTGTTTCATCATGGCCTCATCACCCAACTGTTTCTGCCAGCCATCTGGCTTCTACACCCCCTTGATCCTGTTTTCACAATCTCCTCTATGTCAGACAGACTACCCACTTCATCTCGAATTCTCCTCCCCTGGTCTCTAAGACTCGACACACATCTTTTCAGGAAGGCGAGAAGTATGTTATTTCCTCTTTATTTCATTTTGCGGGCTCTTCTGACTCCTTCCCACCCTGAACTACGGGCACTCTCACTGTAAAGCCGACTTCTGCCCTTCACTCTTCTCCGGACATAAACCCCATCCAGTTTCCCGGATCCAACATCCCTCCTACATATTGGTCTCCCACATCTCCATCTCCATCTCTATCCTGTTACTCCAAGTCTTCCTGGGGGTCTAGACATCACCCCAAATGCATTACACTCAGAACTGCTCCTCTTGCCCTGTAAGCCTGCTCCTCTCCTGACTCCTCTGCTCTTGAGAAAAGTTATCACCTTGTCCCCAGGCATAAACTTGAAATCATTTCCCTTTCCTTTTTCTCATTTATCCCCTGGATAGCCAGCTGCCAAATCTTATGAACTCTTCCTCTGAAGTGCATCTCACACAGTTCCTTTCAATATTTGCTACCACCCCTTTAGAACAGCTCATTACTAATGCACAGCTTGGAGCACACTGCTACCTCCACAATCAGCTCAAACACCTTCACGGCCCCCTAACGACTCCATGACGGTACAACGCTGCTTACGTCAACTTCAAGGCTCTCCACAATCTAGTGACAACTTACTTTTATCTCTTCATTCTCCTTCCTGTCTCTCCCTGTACTGAGAATATCCACACCGACATCAAGCCCCATGTGGGCTGTGCCCTCCGACTTCTCTCTTGCTAAGCCCCTTCCGGTGCCAGCCTTGCGTGCTGCTCCGGTGGACTGCTCTCCTGACTTGGCCATCCAGTGGAATGCACGATCCTTTGCTGCCTTGTGTTCCTATTTCATGCCCGCGCATCCAGGCCATGTCCCTCCCCTGGTCTGCAGGATTCTTTAGAGCAGCACTCGGCACAGGACTCTACGTCCACGTGGTGAGCTGCAGCATACTACCGTATGCAAAAGGAAGTCACTAATCCCAGAAGCTGCATAGATAAAACAAACCTTCTCATCCTTTGGGGGCCGACCCCGCTTCCGGGGACTCTGCTCTTGGGCTCTTTTCAGAGGGGACTTGGAGCCTCTCTCTGAAGAGCCTGAAGACACCCTCTTCTTTCCTTCTCCCATGTTCTTCTTCACCTTCCCTTCAGACAGGCTAAGCTTGCGCTTCTCATCACCTGAGTTTGGCCTACTTCTCTCCTCACTGGAATTACGCCGATTCTTGTCATCAGCAGAATTGTGGGATGATGTCTGAAAGTTTAATAATAATAATGATAACCACCACAATAGCCGCTGCCATTGCCACCACCATTTACAAGAGCCACACCCTGTGTGACAAGCACTTCACATGCATTATCTGCACAACAACCCTATGAAACAGGCTCTGCTGTCATCCCCACTTACATTTGGGGAAGCAGATTAAAACAAAAAACAAAAAACAACAAAAAAAATCAATCGAGTCCCTTGCCCACAGTCCCCAAGCTAAGAAGTGAGATTTACACCCAGGCAGTGGATATATCCCAGAGGCTGTGCTCCTGATCTCTGTGTTATAAAAGGGAGAATCAACCTGTGTTGTACTGATACTTCTCCTGGGTCCAAGTGACTTTCCTACGAGCAACAATCTATTCCAAAAAGGTCAGCCGCATGCATGGAGTTTCAAGCTGATTAGCAAAACGCTGATACCTTAGAACCGAAGTAGCTCTCTCTCCATTGGCATTTCATAAGAATAGAGTTTCAGGTTTGGGTGACATTTAATCTGTTAGTTACTGTGCGAAAATAACCGGTCTGGCATTGGCATACATTGAGAATCATGGAGTCTCTCACCTGGTCTTTCCCTTTGGCTCTTCTGAGGAACTCTTCCACTGCATCCACAGCTTGCTGGAATCGTTTTCCCTTGTTAATCTTTATCATTTCCTCCTTATGCGCATGATATGGCTTTAGCTGTTCCACTTTGATCCAGGCACTAGCAGAAAACACACAGAGAAAGGGTATGATCCACACTGCCTACTCCAGAAAGTATCAAAGACGTCACCCCAGCAGAACGCAATGCAAATATCCATTTGCTTTAACTGGACTTTGAAACAGGCCTGCATTTTTTCAAAACATGCTCTCAACTACCCCAAACTCTTGAGCCTAAAAGTATGTTTTCTTGGAACAAGTCAAGCAGAACAACAACAAACACAATCAGAATATCCTTGAAATTAAATCACTGTGTTGCAGGTTATTTCCACTTTTGCTCACCAGCCTCCCACACTGAACCACACACACCCTGCCACATGCTCAGGGCAGAGGAAGCCTGGAGACGCTCTCCCATTCTCACCACACAGTACAGGCGGCCACACATGGATCCCAGGGAATCAGAGCACCTGGAATCATCAGCGCTCAGCAACAACCTGAGCCAGACTGATGACCTGTCAATCAACAGAGAATCAGAGATGCTAAAGAAATGCAACACCTAAAGTCTGCTGCTCTCACAAATATTTGCAGCTATGGAGCCTATATTTGTTCATAAATGATTGTATCCATGGCTACTAGACCGCGCAAAACATGTGACACATGGTGTGGAATGAGGGCAGCAGTCACAAAGGGAAGCCTTTAAAAACAAGATTCTGCTTGAGATTAAAGGTACAAAAATATACTCTTCTGATATTGAATTTTTAGTTCCGATCATCAGTGCATAACACATGAAAGTGAAAACAGCCATCAGTTGTCAATTCTGGACTATCTGGCCAACCATACTGATCTGACCAAATCTGCCCCAGCTGGCTCCCATGGTTTCCCTCAATGACGTTCAGTTTCCCAGGATAAAGGAGAGAATTTTATAGTGTCGGCAAGGTAACAGTTCATTTGTATGTTTTACCCTGTAACACTCACAGGTTTCATAGTATAACCTTCAGAAAAAGTGGGTCAGGCTAAAGATACAGAAACTGGGCTGTAACACTAACTTAGGGCTCTCTCCTTTAGAGAAAGCTAGAGAACATTCACTAATAATAGTAAAAGTGCTAAACTATGTACATAAAAAGCACTACCAACCCACCAACAAACACCTCTGAGTGTTGTGCTAGTAGTTGTGACAATGGGTCTTTACAAACACAACAGTCCTGGGACCACCAGACTGCAAATGTGACAGCCAACCAGGACTAGGTATGTTATTATGGGTAAATAGAGGATGAACAGTGAATGTGGACTCAGACACTGTTCTCACTGCACAGAGCTCCCACCACATGAGGTAAATAGGTACCTTCCTTGTGACCAATTCATCTTCAAGTTTGAAATTTGACACAATAGAGCCAGCAGGTCCAATCTACAGGGAGGCAAAGTGGAATTAAATTTCGACCCCACGTTGTCTGGCAAGTATACCACTGAACTGACCCCCTGCCTCTCCTTGCATTTAGTGTTTCTAAGGACAGACCATCAGAGCAATCAGATGCAATGCCAGATACGCCTTGGAAAGCAAGTTAAGCTGTCATACTAACTGGCAGCTCGGAAACTAAGGAAGCTTAAAGAGCCACAGCCCTCAAGACGGGCCTTTTTCTTTTCTGAGCTTCAGGTCAAAGGCTGAGATGGGCACAAGTTGCAGTATGAGACCAATGTGGTGGTTTTTATGAAGCCCTCGAGATGGACAACACACACTAAGAATCCTAATCCCTGCCTCCCTCCTCTCCATAGTAACCTCTGATTCAGAGTAAGTGGAAAGGTAAGGACATCTGTGGAGGGAGCACCAATAAACGCATACCTGTTTTCGTTAAAGCATTTTACTATTTCTGCCAGGAGAACAGTAGTCAAAATTCCATTCAGCCTGAAGACTGGCATTTGAAATACTAAAATGAAATTTTCCTCTGTGACCCTCTTTGAAAAGTGAAAATGGTTTGCTAAATGAACTGACAGCATAAATATGACTTCAAGAGGATAAATGCAAGAAATGTTAATTTACTTAAGAAATCGGCCTATTGCTGGAGAAGCAACCTGTCGTGGCAGAAAACGGTAAATAAAAAGCCACCCCACCAGAGCTGTAGCAGGAGTACCTCTTGAAAGCAGCCAAACGACATCCCTTTGGCAGTCTGAATAGAATTTTTTTCTCTAAAGGCTGCAGAATGGCAAAACCCTCTGTCTCCTTTAAGAGAGGACTCTTTTCAGCTAGAGCTTCAATAGTGCACCACTCTCCTATCCATGAGGCCCATTAGGCAGGTCTGGCATGTAGCTGGTGCTCAATAAATAATCACGGCATAGAGGCCTACTGGGTGCATTCAGGCTGACTCTGGGTTCAGTGTTGTAAAGCTGTATTGGCTTTTGGTGGTTGCTCCTGTTGTTTGTCTGTTTTTTTAGTGACTGCTATTTCTTTCCCGGGTATAAGCTGTAACTTGTTAGTTCCCTCCTGTCATTCTTCCTATGCCTAGCTGGAGCTGGACCTTTTCCACCCAATTTGCTGTAGGCTGGGAAGTCAGAAAAATCAAGCTTAGTCAAATTGTGTCTAAAGTATGTGCCTTTGATTTTATTTACAAGGAATCACGTATTTTTTTGTAGAAGTAAACACCTGAGAACAAGGAGACTGGCAATCAGTAAGGTCATTACAAGTATGAAATGGAAGGTCCCTTAAGATATTTGGCTAAATGGAAAACAAGATGCAGAGCAGTGTGTAGTATGCTACCACTTGTGTAAAAGTGAGGGGAAAGGAACATGTAACTTCTTGATTATGCACACAATATCTCCAAGGGCCACGCCATACATAAGAAACTAGCATAATTAGATGACCGTGGGCCGCGACCTGGGGGGCTGAGGGATAGGGATGAATGGGAACCCTTCCACGGTTTATAGCTTGATTTTTTTTTTTTGGTGGTGGTGGTGGTGGGGGGGCAGGATGGACTATAAACGTATTATCTTAAAAGAAAAAAATCAATAATAAAGGCCTCTGCTGTAGAGCAAGGGCTGTTCTGGCTCCCAGAGAATTTTCCCCATTACTTCCTTGTTTGTAAGGTTTGCTCAGGTGGGTAGCTACTGATTGGCTGATGTATCACGGCCAAGAGCAGCAAACGTACTTTGGTGTTCGGATACACCTCCTAGCAATTCTTTTCATCTGCGAATATAAACCTACTTAGCTACACTCAGATTACACACTTCACTCAAAATGAATTTAAAAACCTATCTTTTCAAAAACTTCCATAATTCTGACCTGCTTTCCCCTTAAATTAAAATTATATCATGTCGATATCATATTAAAGATTAAAGATGCCAGTCTATGAGGACTCTCAAACACCCTCACATGTGTGTCTCAGACTTCGTACAGACACCATGACCCGGGCAGGTGAAAGAGAGAGAACACACACGCGCACAGTCCAAAGGTGAGGACAAGAACGGGCTCAGAAGATATGGATTCACTTTTCCATCTGGAATTGGTGAGTAGTACTTAGTAAATAATTTCTAGGCTTGCCACCCCAAACCATTGCAAGAGGCTGAGTATTCCTGAAGTGTTATGGGTCCAAGTCTAAGCCATTCAGAAATCAACAACCCCCACCCCAATAACCCCACAAATCAAAAAACAAAACAACCAAGAAACCAAAGAAAAGAATTAAGCATTTGTCAGTTAATTTCATATCATATCATGTGATTATCATACAGACATCAACAGAGACTTGCAGAGATGATATAGAAGATTTTGTTTCCAAATCTTGAAAACATTCCCAAATGCCAGTAAGGCTTTCAGGCTGTGACGCCTACACCAACATGGCCAACTGCTTCTTCCTGTGCCAGTTTCTATAATTCCGGTGTAGGACACCTGCTCCTGGAGTCCACTGCCTCAGCCATCAAGGGAGTCACCTGTAGGACAGGAGCTGCTGCTGGTGCTGGGAGGAGAATCCACTTCGCACTCTCTAGGATAGCTATTGTCCAGCCCTGGCAGAGGGACACTGCTGGCTCAGTCCAAATACCCGGAGCAGTGGCCCTCACTACCCACTTGGCTCCATTCTCCAACGATTACATGGTGTCAGATGTGGAGAAAGTGGGTTAATCAAATTCCCGGTGAAAAGAAAAAGGCATGCTTCTAATTACGAGCCGCAGATTTTTCTGGAAGTTACTTTAGTACTCACTGAGACACCTCATACCCAGCCTGTCCCAACTTCTATCTGGCTTGATGTAAAAATACCTCAGGTTGACCTTGTATGACTTAGAATCCACAACTCTCCTGCCTTTTAGTTTCTTCATCTACCATCGTTTGCCCACTGTATTTTCTGAACTGGTTTGTTTCTCCTGGTTTTGAGCAACCTGCACACTACATGAACTTCCTCCATTCTGCCATTCAAGGGCACTGACCAACTTAAACCCTGAGCTCAGTTTCTACTCTGATGGGCAGCCACCTACCCAAAGTGGGCCCTCATGCACCTGAGACTTAATCTTTGGTTGTGGTCACCTGGCGGAGTTGACAAAGTCATGCTGAAGTTATATTTCCCTCTGTATTTGCATGAAATAGAAAACAGTTCTGGGCAATTCCCACTGTGGCCATACAGGCCCACAGAGTTGAATTCAGACACCTTACTAAGTCCTTCCCTTCACAGGGGAGGTTGGTGGGGAAGGTCTGGTCCTGTCTTCCTAACAGTGGGATATTAACACAATTTGTTAGAGGTTTTGCAGAGGAAGGGAGAGGAAAAATTAGGTTTCTAAAAGATCGAAATCATCATTGATCTTAAGGAACGACCCTTTAAAATAAAGGCTCTTCCTAATATAAAAAATCCCATCTATTTCTTTTTTTCTCCATAAGCAGTATGTCAGTTTTGAAACCGATCACCTCTGCCTGAATTCTGTATTTCTCAGGAATACACGAACAGCCTCACTGGGTCAGACCCTGTCCACCAAGGTCAGGACACAGTCACCAGACGTGCCTCCACCCCAGGATGTGCCAGGAGCACATGCCCCTCCTTGACATCAAGCATTAAAGGTGAGGTAGCCACTTATGGCCTTGCCCTTCCTGAGGTAGCTCTCATCCCTAAAAAGTCCACTTGCATTTCCTGCCTAGACCACTTCTTAGATGTGTTTCATACTGTATTTCTTTTATATGTCCTAAACATATGCCATTAAATATTTCTTATACTCAGTTCTCCTTGTTGAAACATCTGAGAATTTATGAACAAGGCAGTGTTTCTCTCAAGGCCATTCATTATTTCATTAGTTCTGATTGTGTTCTTTTTTTCAGTCGTTGCTTTTTCACATTAAGAGTCCTACTCCTTCGTCTGACTCAGTCCCCTTTCCTAATCGTGACTAGTTCCACCAGATCCCTTTGGGATCATAGACTAGAATGCACACAGTGCTCCTCAAGAGGCACACTCCAGTTTTTACACAAAGGTGGAATGATGTAAAAATAAGAAAAAAAACCAAGGGGGAACAGTGTATTGTTTTGCGTTCAAAGCCTTTGTGCTCAAAAGAGCAGACCTGGCTGATGTCCTTAGGAACCTCTAACTCTCAGGCGCCTTTCTTTTCAAACACAGATCCTCTCACTCATGGGCAGAGTCTGTGTTTCTCTCACATTTTCCTTACTGAAAGCGCCTGCTTCTTACCAGCTTTTCCCCCTCTTATAACAGATCTATATCCTAACCTAATGTTTGCTGAACACCTGCTTTACAGCAAACCACACTATGAATCAGTGACGCTACTTCTTAACTAAAGAAGTTGAGAGTATCATTCCCACATATGGACAAGGATGCAGAGTCCTAGACAGGTGAAAGAGCTTGCCCAAATCAGAGAGTAGGTGGAACTGGAACATGAACATACGTTAGGCTGGTACAAATCCAGAGCTCTTTGCCCAAAGTAATCGCTACCCAATAACCTGGATATTTCACCTTCAGATAATATAAAGATGCTAAATGAAATCTGCCTTAACACTGACCACTAAGAACCATTCTCCCTTCAGAGAAGTGCTGTAGATCTTGACCCTTTGCTGCCTTTCAGCGAGTCAACTGCCTACCTACATAAGGGTAACATGTTAGTCCTGTGGTGATTCAGTTTTTAAATAGCTTTTTATGTGGAATTCTACCAAGGAAATTTAAAAGGCTTGAAGATATTATATCTAGCAGTTGCCCTGTACCCACTTGCTTATGAATTCCCTCAAAACACTTCAGTCAGAAATCACATCACCACCACCACCACCACCGACACCATTAGGTTACTTTTGTGTTTAGTAAGCACATCCTTTTCATTGGCTGCATCTGGTTGAGCACTGACTCAACTCCAATTTTCTCTGTCCTATCTGTAGTATTTCTTATACATAGGGATCCAGTTTATTTTTCTAACCTTCCAGCACTTTTAAAAAATTACCATAAGAACACAATGGCTTTCAGGCCTGCTGTAATCTGATTAAGTCCTCACTTTCTATGAGTTCCCATTTTTGTTTCAGACTTGGTTTGCTAAACAAAGAAGTATACAAGTTGGGCCAGCCATACTGTCTGTTATTCCCAAGCACAAGTTCTTTACCCCAAGCAGGGAGCCTCTCTCTGCCCACACATCCAACTCAACGCCCAGCTGTTCCAGCTGTTTATAGTATCCCCACTGCCTGGAATGCCACTACTGTTCCAAATCCTATCCATCCCCATAGTTTGATTCAAATTCCATCTCTTACATTAGCCTTTGACCTGGCTGTTTTCCACTGATCCCTCTTTGTTCTAGAGCCCTTTAACAATTGCCCACATCACTCATTCTGCACTTAATCCCATCTGAAATATTTATGTCTTTATCACCTGAGTTCCTGGAAGATGGGAGACCACAACATTCGCTTTCCTGAAGTTCCCTTCAGTGTCAAGCAATGCAGAGTGTGTTTGCACAATCAGTACTTGTTTTATGCATCAGGACAATCTTTCTTGTGAAAGCCACGGTATACCAGAACATTCCCTCTTCCAGAGTGTCTGGCTCTCACAGCTCCAGGATAGTGACGCCTTTGAAATATTGCCATCAAAAGGCTGCTAAGTTGGTTTGTGACAGAGAACTGGGTATACCAGTACATCTGTATGGTGCCAGGCAAACTCTAAACCAAGATGAGCAAGCACCCTGACACATAAACTCCCGAGTGAGTGAAGAACAGTCTACAAGAGATTTTCCTATAAAATATTATATATCGCTTTCTGGGAATGTATATTTTAACCACCAGTATTAGACTGATCAGAAAAGTCACATGTTCCTTACCCAAAATTACAATCCTTTAAGAATCATAAACAGAAATACAACTACTTAAAGAAATCAAACTGTCTAGCTAGGCCTAGGTAAACAACTTGATGCAGCGATGAGAAAGCGAAACAAATCATCAGGATCTCAAGCAAATACATTCTTCCCCTTACTGTGATTTCTTGTATGGCCTACCGAAGAATCTCACATTAATGGTGCTAATTTCAACTTCAGGACAGGCCTAGCTAAAAAGCTTTACTGTTACAACATTAGAGCAAGTCATTTAGTTTTCCAAAAGAAAACAGATTAAACAATTACTTTTATTAAGATAAATTTTTAGTTTTCACTGTATAGCTCATGCATGAGCCACAATGATAAATAGCCATTAAACGAGACTCAACTGACCCTATAAGAGGAACTATCTATGGAACTGGCATGTGAGATGTGAGAAACTCTCTCAATGTAATTATATTTAGAAGGTGGTGTGAGCCCTAGGTCTCACCTGACTGACATTGTTATTGGCTCCAGGACAATTTCTGCAAGATAAGAATAGCATCTTTTATTTAGGTATGAAGCCAGAATGATGCCATTTTATAGACTATAGTAAGACTGAACTAGGGTCTGTAGAATATTCTCAAAGCAGCTCAGACCCAGGCCAATGCCTAAACAAAGGGAAAGTGAAACTCTTGGTGAGCACTACTCACTGATCCTCTGTTCCAAAAAACTTCACAAAGAAGCATTTCTTTCCACGAGGTTTCTTCAAGTCCTTGGGCGGATTAACAATCTGGGGGATAAAAGGGAAAAAAAGGTTTTTTTCCCACTGTTCTAAGTTGGTAAGGAAAAAAAATGAAACAAAACAAAAAGAATATCTTAAAAAGAAAAAATCCAAGGCCTACTATGTGTCCAAATTGGCACTTTTCTACTGAGATGTGTGGAAATGTACAAATATTCAGAAGTTCCCTACATCTAACATGTAGCACATTGTTCAGTAGATACAATATTCCTTTTACTGCAATGGCCCTGTTTTAAAAGCAGTTAAAAAAGACAAAGGTGACCCCATGTGACCCTGTCGTCACTGAAGAAATGTAGAAGACACTTTTAAAAATACTTCTGTGTAGGAAGAGTTGAAACAGGTAATAATGACAAGGAAAAACAACTGAAGCACTGAAAATACCATATTGCAAAGAGACAGTCTAAAGACAGTTCCTGGGCTCCTAGCAAGAATATAAAAACAACATTTGGAAAGCTATGACGGATCGCCTCATGCAAAATTTGAAATGCCAACTTCTGCAAAGATGCACTGGAGCAGCACATATGGTAACAGAAGATTTAAACTTAGTTGGGACAAAAATACTTTGACTTTTCACTAATCTACATTTAGATTTCGCTCTTCCTGGAGAATTTATTTTCTTCTCCTTTCGTTAGGTTTAAGTATAAAGCTAAATTCAAGTTAAATTGATTTCCAGGGTTAAAAAAACTCAAAAAAACCCATCTCTGATTCAAGAAATAAGCATTTACTGGAGATTAAATGACCTGGTTTATATTCTATTGCCTTTTCTAAATGAACTGATATTAGAGAAGAAAAAATTCTGAGTGTTATTTAAATAGGCACAGTTTCACTCAATGCTAGAAATTGAGGGGAATGCATCTTACATTCTCCACCTGTTCAAACCCAACTTCGGATGTCTTCCTTTAGTTCACTAGCAAGACACTCACCTTTCCTGGCCAAGGAGGATACCTGCCGAGTTTCCCCCTAGAGAAAACACAGAGAGTCAGCACTTGCCCTGGAAAAGCCAGTCCATCTCCTTCAACCCACTCAACATGCAATTTATTTTCCTAAATATCCACTTGCACCCTCAAGTGCCAGAATAAATGCTGGCACACAGACGTTCTTAATCTGGCTTCTACAGTTGGATTCAACAGGCCCAAACTCCTCAGAAATGGAATGCAAAATTGTATACGTATGTGCGTAAAGTATGTACATTCTTCTGGTGACAAGGGATACAGAACAACAAAACCACCAAGAGTCACTTGTCTAGAGCCTCCCCATGACGGGGGTGGGGGATAGTTTGCTCTGTAAACACAGACTTCCCCTTACAAAGTCTGGTTTAATTCACCGCGAGACCAGCTGGCTTTGCCAAATGCTAATGGAAGCCTTCTTCTGGGTCGAGAAATAAGCTACGCAGCTCGACCGAGGCGGCGACAGTCAATCTTGGTTCGGGCGGTTGTCTGGGACACAGAAGCAGACCACGAGAGGCACCCAAAAAGGCACTGATCACTGCCAAGCCTTCGGTTGTAAAGGAGAAGTCTCCCCTCTATTTCTTCACGGGGCAGCGCCATCAGTCCGGTTTCGACACTCTCAGCCAAGCCGCCCGCAGAGTTCGGTTCCATTGCAACGCTGGTTTTAACGGGCTTGCCTGGGCGAGATGGCCTTGCGGGCTCCCCCGCTTTCCAAAGAACGGCAGCAAGATCCCAAGGAGCCGGCGTTCGCGGGCGGCTCCAGAGACGCTCCTCACAGTAACCGTCGGCGTCCCGGTTCGGGGCGCAGCTCTCTCCCGGGCGGCCTCGGGGCTCGGAGCTCGGCCCGCCGTGGCCACCCTCGGCCTCGGTCCCCCGGGGCCAGGCTGCCCCTTCCGCCCGGCGTCGCTCCCAGCACCGGCACCTCGTCTCGCCCTCTCTCCGAGGCCTGGAGCGCACAGAAAGGCAGCTCCGAGGCTGTCCACCAACCCCGCACCCAGAGGAGCAGTTTCCCGGTGCACCTCGCTTGGCCCCGGACGCCCGGACTCACCACACCAAATCGCCGAGCCGCAGACTCACAGCCGCCATCTTACCACCCAACCACCGCCGACGCATAGGCCGCCGGGAACCTCAGGTCGCCCTGGCACCGCCCATTGGACTGAGCTCGACCACGTGACGGGGGCCGGCTGTCATCGGCCACGCCGCTGCTCTGACGTCACCGCGCCCGCCGGTGCTTATTGGCCGGCCAGGCGGCACGTGACTCGGGAGCCGCGGTCTCCGCGCGCCGGAGCCCCAAGACTCCCGGCTCCTTCCCCCTCCCTCCGGCTCGTGACAACGAAGCGCCCGCGGACTGAGGCGGCGAAGACCGTGGCTGGGCTGCCGATCGAGCGCGCGAGGGAGCCGGCCCTGCGGCCTGCCCCGCCTCCGGACCCTGGCTTCCAGCCCCCTCCCCCACAGCTCTTCCGTTTCGGCCGTTAGCTCCGCGCGGGCCCGGGGGCCGGCCGCGTCGTCTCGCGGGCAGCTGCCCTGACGGACCTCGGCGCGGCCTGGAAGCCAGCCTCCGCCTGCAACTGGGGCCCCGCACTCGGGGTCTCGCGCCCGGCGGGCTCTGCGTGGCCGCGCCCGGGGGCGAACGGGTCCTTCAGAGCGCTCTTTTTACTGGTTGCGTCCGGGGAGCGGCTCCAAGTCCGAGCCCGTGTCCGCGCCTCAAGTTCTCCCGGGGCGCCAGTGCATCCCGCCTCGAGGTTCCGAGTTGCTCGGCCGACGTGGAGCCGGAGTCTCTCGATTTCCTCCTGGGCCGGCAGACGGCACGGCCGGTGAGGCTCCCCCGGGCCCGCGGGGACCCAGCGATGGGCCGCGGCGCGGGCTGGCCGCCCTCCGGGAGGCATGGCTCCGGGGCCGGCCGCTAGCAGCGCCGCAGCCCGGGCTCCCGGGCCGGCAATGAGGACGGTCGCGGGGGGACGAGTGCGGCCCGCGGGGCCGTAGCCTGCGTCGCGCCGGGGACAAAGGTGCGTGTCTTTGCCGGGACCGGGCTCTCACTTAAGCCGAGTTGTAGTTTGACACTTTTGGAGAAGTTAGGAGCAGGTTGTTGTTGACAACAGGGAGGCGGATGCCAGGCGTAGTTTCACTACGTGAAAACAAGCCGTTGAATGAGGAACTAGGAACAATTCACAGCGACTACCCAAACGTCAGATTCCTGGTAGAAAACAAAACATTTTCAAAAGGTTCCATTCCCAGTTACAGACCTCAAGGAGTCCAAGTCAAGTGTTGACTTAACTTAGAACCGGACTTTTCTTGAGTCGCCGCCTGCTTGAAAAGATTGCAAGTCCGTACACATCTGTCTCCCTTAGGCGTTTTGTTTTACGGAGACTTTGGTTGTATGTGGGGATTTTTTGTTTTTTAGCGAACTGTCTTGACCAGCCTGGTTTTTTCACTGGAATTCAGTTCCTAAACTAAAGTACTGTCAGTTTCAGGAACTGTCATTTACCGTTTTGAATTGTTTTAAAGACAAAGCAATAATTTAAAGCATATTTGTGGTTCCAGGAAATAATTTCATAAAATTCAAAATGTTTCTGATTTAAAACTCTTAAATTTTGAGGATTTAAGGATATTTTAATGACTTGATAAAAAATATGAATTTTAAATTAACTTCACACTTGGGTTAGAGGCATTCCCGTTAGAGTCAGGAGTAATATGGCAAAGAATATATTGTCTAATATTATCTTGTAAGTTCTAGCCAATGCAGTAAGACATGAAACAAAAATGAGACCATTTTTCAGAAAGGAGACAAAATTCTCATTTCTGTAGATGACAGGACAGCCTCTTTTGAAAAAAAGGGGAAACCATTAAATTAGTTCAGTAAAGAAACTAATTACAAACTCAGCATACAAAATTCAGTTTTTCTATGTTTCACCAATAATCAGTTTGAAAATGTGATTGAGAGGAGGTTCAACAAAAAAAATATATCATTCTCGGGAATAACCTGAGATACAAAAGGATGCTAGCATTTCTTGGGTAACATCAATTGAAGGTTTTTAAGAGGGATGTTTTTGTTTGTAGAATACTGTGCTTTTATTCAGAATAAGGTTTAACTCATTAAAGGTGAGTACAGGCATACCTCGTTTTATTGCACTTCACTTTGTTGCCCTTCACAGATGTTGCGTTTTTTACAAATTGAAGGCAAGACCACCAGCAAAAAGATTACGACTTGCTTTATTGCGGTTGCCTGGAATGGAACCTGCAATATCTCCGAGGTATGCCTGTATTTATATACTTAGCTTTTCTTAAGGCTTTAAGTTGTGCTGACAAACCTTGTTTTATTTACAAATCTGAGAATGTTTTTGTAAAAACAAAAATATTTCATCTTTGACAAAGCTTCATTTAAGGCACCAGTTTAACATATTAAATTTTCCTAAACAATAAGCTATGTTTTTTACAAAGTTAAATTCCCTCAAATGTGTTAAACTGCATTTGAAGTTTTAGATGCTTATTCTCTCAAATACTTCAAACTTGTAAAACAGGGACTTGATAAACCAAATAGTAAAATCTTTCCAAGGACTTAACTCTTGTAAGGCTAATAAATATATAATGGTAACGTTCTTTTAAAAGCATGCAAGTGGCTCAGTTGGTTAAGAGTTGGCTTAAGAGCATGAGCTCTGAGCAATAGGGCCTCTGGTTCGATTCCCACATGGGCCAGTGATGCTGCGCCCGAGCTGAGCTGTTGCTGAGCTGCCAACAGGTGGCAGGATGGCTCAGCTGGTGTAACAAGATTGCCTGTTCCATGGTGTGCTACACCCACCTGCGCAACTAAGACTGAACTTGGCACCTTGAGTCGAACTGCCGCCTGGATGACTCAGTGAATAGAACGTGTGCACTCTTAACAATAAGGCTGCTGGTTCGACTCCCGCATGGCATGGTGGCTATGCCCACCCACAACTCAGACTGAACTCGGCACCTTGAGCTGAGCTGCCGCTCTGATGGCTCAGTGGATAGAGCGTGTGCTCTTAACAACAAGGCTGCTGGTTCAACTCCCGCATGGGATGGTGGCTACGCCCACCCGCAGCTAAGATTGAACACAGCACCTTGAGCTTAGAGGCCATGAGCTGCCGACAGGCAGCCAGATGGCGACTGGCGCCCTCCACAACAAAGACTGAAGAACAACAACTTGGCTGGTCCCCTTCCCCAATTCCTCAACACTGTTCCCCTCCCCCAATTCCCAAATAAAATCTTAAAAAAAAAAAAAGCATACATTTAAACTTAGTTTTATTTTCGTAAGCATTTCAAATAAAAATTGTAAGTCTGACATCATACATTAATATGTCCGATTCTCTTAAATGTTTCTAATGATTTAGTAACATGCAATAGCAGTTATCATGATGACTGTAAAAATCCAAAATCTAATTGTTATTATGCTATAGGTTTGACTTACATGATTCTCCAGTCTGATATCTATAACTTCACAGGCCTGCAAAGTAATCACTTAAACAACTAAGAGAAGCAGTTTTACCATTTAGGTGGATTGAAGTTACAATGTTTAAATTTCGGATGAGGTTACATTTTAAAATTACTGCCTGGGTTGGGGCAGGGACCTGGTTGCCACTTCTAGGATGACCTTCCTGCATTCCATCGGTTAACTTGCAGACTCTCTTCTTATAGTGAGACTTCGTCTGTTTTATCAATGGGGTAACTTTCAAGCCTTCAACCTTCAGCTGAAATTTATTTTTACAACCCAGTGTATCACAAATGTCCTGGGGGCCTTGAAAGTTTCGTTAGAGAAATTTCTTTCAACATCTCAATGCATGATGGTCTTTTGCACCACCAGCCTGTTTTGCTGCTAATCACTTTGAAGCCTGATTAGAATTATTTTAACTATTTTTAGGTATTTTACTCCCTTGCCTGGTCTTTTTTTTTTTTTTTAAGATTTTATTGGAGAATTGGGGAAAGGGAATAGACAAGTTGGTGTCCTTTTGTTCTTCAGTCTAGTTGTGGAGGACGTAGCTTCACTGGTCCATGTTGGTATTGTGATCACTGTGCTCTTCCTGGGCGAGGCAGATGTTTCGCCAGCCATTGGACAGCGGCTACCAGCAGCTCATGCCTATTCATGGTAGCTTACAGCGGCTGCTCACTGCAGCCTACGCTGTCGCTGGTGACTCATGGCAGCCCAGCTCCAGATCAAGCTGTTGTTCACTATCTTAGCTGTAGAGGGCACAGCATCACTGGTCCAGCCCATGTTGGATCCGAACCGGTGGCCTTGCTGCTCAGAGCTCACGCTCCCAAGCCAGCTCTTAACCAACGAGCCACTCGGCCGGCCCCTCCTTGCCTGGTCTTACAGATCACAATTTTACTGTCACAATAGAAAGAATGAATATTATATGTACTATATAAATATCCTTATGTATAAATGGGTATATATGATATAAATCTTTTTGAATTCATATTTATGATTCATTTACAGTCAAAATGCAGTGAGTTTTTTTGGGAACTTGTCAAAATTCTAAAATTGATCTGAACTAATAAACAGGCTGGAATATCCAAGTATTTTAAAAGAGTAATAATAAAGATGAATTTTAAAATTAAGATGTTAAAATATACCATAACATTTCTTAAAAACGGTATGGTACTGGTTAAGGAATCTTTAGATACTACATCTATATGATATCTAATGGCATTGATGACATAAAAATTTATTGCAAAATGTTATACAATATGGCATTCAAAACATCTTTGTTGTTGATAGTGCAAGCTACAGGAAAACATATCCGAATGTCGCAACAAAAGAGTTCAGATATCTAAGACATACGTGGTATATGCCAAATCAGCAGGGCAAAGTAGGATTATTCAGTGACTGGTGCTGTGAAGAAACCAAGTTAGAGCCTTGCCTCTCTCCTTATAGCATAGTAAATTCAACTTGGCTTATAGAATTCAATGTGAAAGTTATATCCATAAGAGACTGGCTAGGTAAATTCTTACGTAAGAATTACCTGGTTGGAGAAGGACATTCTAGGCACAAAAGAAATGGGAGAAATCATAAGGGAAAATAGCCTAGTTTACTGCATAAAATGTTAAAATTTCTTTCATCATACCTCTAAGCAAAATTAAACATTAAATAACAATGAAGAAAAAGTATTTGTAAGAGATATGACAAACATACATAATTATATATCTGTACTGTATCAAAAGCCCTTAAAAATTAACAAAAAGCCTTACTTTTTTTCAACCCTTCCCTTAATGCTGGACACTCAGGTTACTTTTATCGTTTTTCCTGTACAAACAAGGCTGCAATGAATATCCTTATTGAATCCATATGATAAATGCAGAGCTTGATGGATTTTCACAAACTCAGCATACTTATGCAACCTTTACCCGCTAAGATGTTCACACTAGAATATCAGTTTTAAAAAACAGGACACAAATTATACATGAAGCACAAAATATATATGCATGTGTATATGTAGTATATTTGCATATTTATCTTCTGTAAACCCTTGGAATTCTGGGAGTTTACAATATAATTTGACCAGTTCTAAGCAACTTTGAAGGCCTTTGCCATGTGATAATTTGTTGCTTGGCCAAGACCCAAGTTTGGGTGGTGAGAGGCTGGTGCATTAGGAAGTGAGCCTTAGCCACATCAGTTCTAAGACAGTGATTTTTCGCTTATCCCAGGGTAGGCATTACTCTGAGCTGATGAAAACTTTGTGATTGTGAAGAATGACCCTAAATGAAAGCAAACTTCTGGTGAAGAAAATAAGGAGATCTTAAAAAAACAGGTTATTTTTAGCTAGAAAAATAAATATTGGATAAATTAAATGAAAAACAATATTCTCTAGGGTTCTGTGCAATTTCGAGGATACTTTAAGGGTCTGTTTGCATGTTTTCTAATGTCAAGGATCTAGTAAATATTCATAGAAAAAAGACTGGAAGGAAAGTATACTAAACAGTATTATCTGAAAGGATTTAGGTGCTTTTCATTCATATATATGTGTATACACATATATATATACACGCACATATGTATATGGTAAGGTAAATTGAACGATGGCTTTTTCTTGACAATGAAATTCTTTTAAACTTAAATCTGTATAACTGAATGGGAAAATTGTCATTTTTATCATCTTGGTTTGACCTGGCCCTTCTTTTCAATGTTAACAGAAGCCATGCAGTGACACCTGCTAAGACTTGTTGGTAGCCATGTCGGAGCCCCACAGGGTCCAGTTCACCTCTCTACCAGGTTCTCTGAATCCTGCATTTTTGAAGAAATCCCGGAAAGAGGAGGTTGGGGGAGCAGAGCAGCATCAGGACCCGGAGCCTGCTGCAGCAGCTGTTCGGATTACACTCACTCTCTTTGAGCCAGATCACAAGCGCTGCCCAGAGTTCTTCTACCCAGAGCTGGTGAAGAACATACGCGGGAAGGTGAAAGGCCTTCCACCGGGAGACAAGGTACCCCAGTGGCTCCAGTCTCAATGCAGATGTAATCTTGGTCAGCCTGTGCAAATGGGACTTCCGGAGGGTGGAAGGAAGACGAGAGAGGCTTTGGCTGTCCCAAGATCACAGCACCTACCCCAAAGCCAGCACCAGGTTTGCTGGTTTTGCCTCTGGGCATGAAGGGATACATTTCTTTCTAGAACCATTCTGATTTATGCTGGAGAAAATGTATGGTGCATCCAAGGCTAATTTGAATTATGGCTAATTAATAGAAGTGAAAGAAAGAACACATTTGTTTATGCCAAGGCTACAAATGTTACATATAAATGTGACTAGTCTGTGTCTGGATTTCATGCTGGATATTTTTCTTTTCCAAGGGACTCTCACTTTGCCTCGTGTAAGGACAGATGAGAAAAGACACATAACTGTTCGTGTCTTGTCAACACAGTAATACACTGGGTAGTTTCTTTACCTGGAGGGATAGAAACCTATTTTTGTGGGGTTTTTCTTTTGTTTTTTAAGTTACTTTTTTTTTGGCAAGAATTAGGCTGTAGCTTCTGGCTTTTGAGAATCAGTTCGATTTCTCAAATGTTTTTCAAATAGTCTGTTTCTTTTCCTGGCAGATTTGTTTTACTTTTTATTTTCAGTATGGCATTTCTCAAACATGCACAAAGTACAGAAACTAGTATAATAAGCCCCATGTACCCATCACCCGGCTTCAACAATTACTGATGTTAACAATTACTGATGTTTTGGTCATTAACATTAAAATTTTTTTTAATAGTTTTTTTATTGAATTACATACATGATAAATGCACAGCCTGATGGATTTTTATAAACTCAGCATACTCATGCAACCTTTGCCCTGGATCACAAAATACAACATTTTCCAGGACACCGGAAACCTTCCTCATGCCTTCCCAAAATACTACCCGACCCTCAAGGGTAACAACTGGCTTGATTTCTAACAGCTTAGATTAGTTTTGCATGTTTTTGTATTTTATGTAGATGGAATCATACAGTATGAGCAGGAGCTAGGTGAAAAGCATTTATAAGCACCTAGTGTATACCTCTAGGCGAGGCTCCAAGGGAAGGTTAGTTGAACCCCACATGACAGCATTTTGTGCACCAGAGTGGCTCTTAGTCAAATGAGGATTAGGCCAGTACCTGGCTCACAGGGTATCTGAGGGTGTCTGAGGTCATGCAGGTACAGTTTCTGGCAGAGTGTCTCATTGGCCAGTGCACCTTCAGTCTAATTTGTGATTGTGCTGTTTGGGACGAGTGCTTTTGGTTAGAAGGATTATCCAGTTTTCTTTGCTCAGATAAAAATGTGTTTCCTTGATTAAGATCTTGTTGGCTGAATGGAAACCAACTGAGTCTGTGCCAAGGGTCAATCTGTTGTATGACGTCAGTGGACAGTGAGAAAATGTAATTTCAAATTGATTGACAATCCCTTTCCAAAGGTAGGAATAATATCCTCTTCCTTGAGAGGAAGAAAAAGTAGCAGGGTTTGGTTAAAGTATTTGTTTGGGGGCTCAAACTAGATCAGTAGGCCAATGGAAATTGGAACTCTCGTGCTCTGATTTAATCTTTTTGGGGGGCTCCAGATGCTCTTCTGCATTGTAGAAAAATGCATGTAGCATACACAGAGAACTTTGGATTCAGTTTCAGGGGATTCACTCCTTACCTTCAGATTGAGAACTTCTGAATCGTATCTATGTGTTCAAAGCACAGTGTAATCCGACACATGTATTCATTCATTTAGCATATATTTCTTATGATGGGAAGGCACTGCTAGATGCTGAGGACTATATAAAGGTAGAGAATCCGTTGTCCCAGCCTTAAAGGAACTTGCAATCTTGTAGATGTTTTAGGAGAATTATACCAGCACAGGTAACAGGAGTCACAATGTGGTAATTGTTTAAATCGGGTACAAATACAGGCCCTGGAGAGCTTTGACAGAGGAGAGCTTACATCCTAGATGCTGTGTGCTGTGTTTAGACAGAGCTGGACCTCCATACATTCAGGAAATAGTAGTTACTGGATGACTACTGCTTACAAGGCAGTAAGGAGTACACATTGAATCCATTGCTGCTCCAGATTGGTGGGATTTCTTAAAATTATTTGAACCACTTAAAGTTATATGTGATCATTGTAGAAAAATTAGAAGATACAGATAAGCACATGTTTTAAAGACCACCCATTTGTGGTACGTACATTATATGTACTGTGATATCTCACTCTACATATATACCCACAATCATTTAACTGATCCCTTATGGGTGAGCGGGATGTCAGTAGGCAGAGATGAGAGGGTGGGATAAGAGAGTTTTGTTTTCAAACAAGCATCTAATCTTGAGTGTTTTTGGCCTACCCTGAAGTCTTAAGTGTGTTTAGTACAGGAATCTTTTATTATTAAAATTAAGATTCCTTGCAAAGAAGCTTAAGGTCCAACTCTGGAAAATATTCTTGATGGAAAAAAATGCAAGACTAAATTTATGGACTAGAAATAAACTGGAAAACTGCATGAAAATATTTGGAGTGAGTATTGAGTTTAGGAGAAAAGAGGCAATTACTGATCCTTCAAGATACGTGTCCAAGGAAAGGGACTGCCATGAACCTAGGTTTGATTTTTGGTAGCACTGAGAGAAGAGCAAATTCGTACACTTTTCTAACCAATAAGACAAAAATATTGGGTTGTCGGAAAAGTCATGATGCATGTTTGCGACAGATGGCACTAGTTCGTTTTGAAAGTACTAGAGTCATTCGCATCTATGTTATTGCTATGTCATTTGACAGCTGACTGTTCTAGCTTCATTCTAAAAAGAAATTGAGCAATTTGGTTGAGTTGGAGATTTTACAACAAGTTGAAGATGGAAGACCAAACTGTGCTTTTTTGCCATATTTTACTGTTTTACTTCCATCAAGGGAAGAACGCACATCAAGCTTGTGACAAGTTGCATAAAGTTTATGGTGACAATGTTCTACAAGAACGTCATTGCCAATGATGGTTCCCGAAATTCCATGCTGGTGATTTTGATCTCAACGATGCTCCTTGGTCAGGGAGGCCCACCGAGGTTGGTGACGACAAAACAAAGGCATTGATTGAGTCAAACCCATGTTACATGACACGAGAGATGGCAGAAACATTGAACATCCATCATTCAAGCGTTCACGACCACCTGAAGAAGTTGGGATATGAAAGCAAGCTCGATATTTGGGTCCCGCATGAACTCAAAGAAGTTCATTTGACAGCATGTGTAAACATCTGCAATATGCTCATTAAACGTGAGGAAAATGATCCATTTTTTAAATGATTTTATTGGGGGGAGGGGAACAGCGTTGGGGAATTGGGGAAGGGGAACAGACAAGTAGACAAATTGCTGTTTTTGTTCTTCAGTCTAGTTGTGGAAGATGTCGCTTCACTGGCCCATGTTGGTATGATCATTGTGCTCTTCCCGGGTGAGGCAGTTGGTTGCCGGTGATTGGTCGGCCACTCACAGCAGCTCCTGGGAGCTGGCTGCTCATGCTGGCCAGCCAGCCCACTGCAGCCTACACCTTCGCGTTGCTGGTGACTCACAGCAGCCCAGCTCCAGGTCAAGCCGTTGTTCATCATCTTAACTGTAGAGGGCAAGCGTCACTGGCCCTCAATGTGGGATCCGAACCGCAGCCCTGCTGCTCAGAGCTGTTGCTCCCAAGCGAGCTCTTAACCAGCTGAGCCACTCGGCCGGCCCAAAATGATCCTTTTTTGAAGCGACTGGTAACTGGTGATGAGAAGTGGATTGTTTACAACATTGTGGTGCGCAAACGGCCTTGGTCCCGACGTGATGATTCGCCTCAAAGCAGACATTCATCAGGGTAAGGTTATGCTCTCCGTGTGGTGGGATTTTAAAGGTGTCGTGTTTTTCAAGCTCCTACCAAGGAACCAAACAATCAATTCGAATGTGTACTGTCGGCCATTGGATAGTTTGAACGAATCCATCATCCAGAAACGTCCAGAGCTTGTTAATCGTAAAGGAGTTGTGTTCCATCATGACAATGCGAGACCACACACAAGTTTGATCACCTGTCAAAAATTATTGGTGCTTGGATGGGATGTGTTGCCACACCCACCACACTCACCTGACCTTGCGCCGTCAAACTTCCACTTGTTTCGCTCTCTTCAAAACTCCTTGCATGGTATAACGTTCAATTCAGATGAGGCTGTAAATCAGCACCTTGTTCAATATTTTGCAAGTAAAGACAGGTCCTTCTATGAACGAGGAATTATGAAGCTCACTGAAAGATGGCAAAAGGTTATCGAACAAAACGGGCAATATATCGTTGATTGATTTTTGTTCTTTATATAAATAAATGACCTTTGAAAAACATAGACAAAATACATCATGACTTTCCCGATAACCCAATAAGTCTCACGAATTTTTGCTACATTCATGGGTTCTTAACGTTTTTGAGGCACGGACTGCTTTGGAAGTCTGGTGAAGCCTTTCTTAGAATAATGTTTTTAAATGCATAAAATAATTTTTAGGGTGAAAAAGGAAACCGATTATATTGAAACACAAGTCTATACAGGTCGAGCATTTCCGACTAAAGGCCCTTTGCCATATTTGGAGCCCTCAGGACCTAGTGTTGTGATAGGCAATTGTAGGTATTTAATCAAGTTTTGTTGAATTACATGAATGGAAATTTTTCTTTCTTAAACAACTAAGATAAACACTAAACTCTAATGAGAAGGTAGCATATATTTATTTCTACCTTGTCTTTTCTGAAAAACAGTTGTTTTTATTATGTCGTTTATAGGTATTAAGTAGCCAGTGAATGTACAATGAATGGGGTTATAGAAATTTTTTATGACTCTTATTTTGTGGAATGGTCTCTTTACAGAAGAAAGATCTCCCGGATCCTTTCAATGACGAAGAAAAGGAAAGGCATAAAGTGGAGGCCCTTGCCCGGAAATTTGAAGAAAAATATGTAAGATTTCTCTCTTGGGCAACAAAACAACCTCCTTGGGTGGGTGAAGGTTTTAGACATTTCAGCATTCCTTTAATGCATTATCATCTAGTCAGCATTGATGTGAAAACAAGTGTAGAGCTTGGAGAGAACAGAATGCAGTTGTTAAACAAATGCATGAAGGTACAGAAAATACAAGTGGCAAGACTAGTGTGTGGAGCTAAATGGACGGATGAACAAGAAGGGGCTTTTGCCCAAGAATTTATTTTTAGAATAAATGTTTGATACAAAGCATACGAAGCCATTTAGTTCCTCCTACTGTCTTAGGCCATTTTATGCAGATACAAATTTGTCCTATTTTAAAAGGTCTTTAGGGAAGGAGGTTGGGGTGTGTGTGAGAGTGACTGTTGTAGTGCTTTGCAGCCATTAGTCACTAACTGGTGGAGTTCAAGGCAACAGTTAGTTTTGTGTATTAAAAAAAGCACGTGACCTTAGACATAATAATTTGTTAAGAGGGTAGATGTCATGTTATGTGTTCTTATCACAATTACAAAAAAAACAAACAACATATGACCTATTCTAAATTTTAGGGTGGAAAGAAACGTAGAAAAGACCGAATACAGGACTTGATTGATATGGGGTATGGTTATGATGAATCCGATTCCTTCATCGATAACTCTGAGGCAGTAAGTACTTCATGAAAATGCCACATGGGAACCACCACACCCTCATTCCTACCGGTAATGGCCCAGAGGCTGGGGGATGGGTCAGAGCGGGCCTGCCCTCAGTATGAGGAAGGAGCTGCACTGAGGAGAGGAAGTGACTCCCTTGATCTGGGGCTTGGTTCTCTCACTGAAAAGGATGACCAGATCTGTCCAAAGCACCTTCTGGACATTCACAGTTGACCAGAAGCACATGTAGGCATGTGGTTTGAAGAGTGACGGAGAAACGTCACATCCGCTCTGTCAAGACCTACTCTGCATCTTTGGACCGTAGTACTAGAACTTGGAGCTGAACGTTTGCTTCCCCCTTTCAGTATGATGAGCTTGTTCCTGCTTCTTTGACTACAAAGTATGGAGGATTTTACATTAACTCGGGAACCCTGCAGTTTAGACAAGCATCAGAATCTGAGGACGACTTCATTAAAGAAAAGAAGAAAAAATCTCCAAAGGTTAGAAAGTTATTCGCTTTGGATTTCAGAAATGCTTTTTTATGAAACTTATGAGACCAGTAGGTAACTTGCTAGAATATATGCCGGTTTAGGATGGCTCAGGAGATTGGTGGAAAGGCATGAGCTGTGTCAAGGTTGACAGTTCACCTCTCACATCTGCCGTGGCGAGGTGCCACGAGTCCCAGCAGACTCAGCTGAGATTCGTTTCTCAAGGTGGTCTCAGGGTGGGGACGAGGGCAGTGAAGGGTATGAAGTGAGGGGAGTTTGCACCGACCTTGCTGTGTCTCTTCTGTGGACATGTAGAGGACTTCAGTTCCCAGGGCTGTCACCCCAATAAAAACAAGTTAGCATTAAGATAAGTTTATTTTGAAATCTGCCTACCACTGCCTGTGTATTTCAAACCAGAGGCAGGGCCCACATACAACTCATTTCAAGCTAGAAAGGTTCTTGGCTGCACAGTGGCCTCTGTTGTCTCAGCCCCGGGTGCTTCCAGGAGACACTGTCAGTGGGAATGCTGTATGGACCCGCCACAGGTCTGCAGTCCAGGGACCGATCCGAAAGCTTTTGTCCATGAAGCAAATAGGACAGCTCTCAGGATGTGCCCCGGGCAGAGCAAGGCCAGTGCTGTGTCGTGCACTTGCTCCCTGAGTGAGGGAGCCGTGTAACTGTGCCTTGTCTTTAATTCTCAGAAGCGGAAGTTGAAGGAAGGTGGTGAGAAGATAAAGAAGAAGAAAAAAGATGACTCTTATGACAAGGAGAAGAAATCGAAAAAGTCCAAGTTTTCCAAAGCCGGGTGAGAGGCAGCAGCTTGTTTGCTAGGATAAAATCTGAATCGTTAGGGCAGGACCCCTGGGAGCTGACTCGCCCTCCTCCTCACAGCTTCAGAAGAGGCAGCAGGGCCTGGCCTTCCGTCTTCCTCCTGCCTCCCACAGTGCCACCATGGGCATAGTCAGTGCTCTCACATCTTTGTGTGTCAGACATCCAGAGTGCTCTCTGTCCCACTGTCAGTGTTGGAGGCTATTTCTGTCACTGTATGATTGCTGCTGTCTCTTGTTCTCTTGGGCACCCCTCCTCTGCCCCAGTTCTTTTTCTGTCTCTGCTGTTTTCCTTTGTCTCCTCTGGTCCTGCTTTCTTTGCGTCACGCAGTCTCACCCCAGCTGCCCTTCAAGTTGCTGCTGCTCTCTGCTGCTCCTGCTCTCTCTCTCTAAATATTTTTTTTGCCCCCCTCCCCATGCAACCTTTTATTTCAGCCTGGCAGTGGTTTTTAAAAACCCATCGGATATTTAGCACTTTGTCTGCCACTCTTTTGCTAACCTGTATTAAATCTCAAGCTTTGGTCCCAGCAAGAAGGAACTCCATGTGCCAAGAGGAGGGAGGAGGAATAACAGGGTGGACTTGTGACTGAGGTTCCCGGAGACCATTGCGCTGGGAGCAGGGGTGAAGGCCCTCTGTGAATTCCCTTTTTGAGGTGTACTGCAGCCTTGGTAACCAATTTTCCCCTCACTTGCAGCTTCACAGCCCTCAATGCCAGTAAGGAGAAGAAGAAAAAGAAATATTCTGGGGCCTTGAGCGTGAAAGAGATGCTAAAGAAATTTCAGAAGGAGAAAGAGGCTCAGAGAAAGAGGGACGAAGAGCATAAGCCTGTACCGGCCTCGTCAGCAGAAGCTCAGGGCCTACGGGAGCTGGAAGGCGCCTCTGACCCCTTGCTCTCGCTATTTGGCTCCACTTCTGACAATGACTTGCTCCAGGCGGCCACTGCCATGGACTCACTGACTGATTTAGACTTGGAGCAGCTGCTCAGCGAGTCTGCAGAAGGAAGCCCCTTCCGTGAGATGGATGATGAAAGCGATTCCCTTGGGGTGGGACTGGACCAGGAGTTCAGACAGCCCTCTTCCCTGCCCGAAGGCCTGCCTGCACCTCTGGAGAAGCGTGTTAAGGAGCTGGCTCAGGTACGGTGACACGGAGTGGCCGGGCTTTCCTAGAAGCCATTTGGGCAGATTGACACTAGTTCCTCACCGCACGGAGCTCACTTTCCAGGGTAGCCCTTAGTGAGTTGGCAGTTTCAGTGTAAGTTTTTCCAAGCTTTCTTCTCATCCCAAGTGAAGAAACAGTGTAAACTCTGACCGTCAGACGTCATTTTTAGGCCTTTCGTGGTTCCTTCACTCCTAGAAGGTTTACTTTCTTCTGGGGAGATTTTCTTTCTTTTTGTTTCCTGCCTGTCAGTTCCTTTCCCACAGAGTAGCTTTCCTTTTGTGTGATAGACTAACACTGATGTTGGCAGCAGGCAGCAATTCATCTTTTCAGTAATCTGTTGAAGGTTTTGGAAATTCACAGAAGTTTGCAGACATATGCTGCGCAGAGAGTCTATGCTAGATTGCCACTGGAGTGCAGCTGTTCCCTGGACTTACATCATCAATGTTAGGTACTGATCACAGGAATGCCTTAATCCTGGGAAATAAGGACCTGAACCTTAAATGCTGTGCGTGCCCTGTTAAAAGCAGTTGACAACTGTCAGAAAAGCAGCCATTGCCATTTTCCCCTGGCGACTGAGTATTGATCCCTAGAGCACCAAGAACTGTCAATTCAGTAATGTAGTGCTACCTGTAAACCAAGCATGGGCCGTTAGTCATGATGACATTTACCCTTTAGTTAAAATAACCTTTCACCATGGGCATCATGGCTTGTCACGCAGCTCTGGTGGCATTTATACTCTATAGCTGTAAGTTTTAAACCACTGATTCTCATAGTTTTCAGAATCACTGTTATGTATAATATCCCTTGTGTTTTAGGGCAGGCTAAATGTTAACCACTGCTACAAATGATTTCCTCACTTCCAAAAAACACTTGAACACCACATACGAAGTAAATCAAATGACTTGTCCAGATCTCTAGATCATCCTCATTAGGCCGTGTTCAGTGTTGGACATAAGTCTTCTATTTGAATGTAACGATTTAAATTATACCATGTCAGGGATTCAGAGTACATCTTAAAAGGATGTTAAGGTGGAAATAGTTGAATCTGAACTTGGCATGTTAGAGCATACTGTCCTATATTTATTCTCAAATTGTGTTAAAAAAAACACTATTCCTTGTTCTTTTCAATCCTCCTGTTTGTAATCAAATTGTTTTGTAGCTTCTGAAGTCTTGTTTAGTAAGCTGGGTAAGGTATGTGTGACAGTAGCCTGTTGTTGTTTACAGAAAAGTCAAAACAATTCTTGGATGTGTCCCTACTCTCACCATAGGTTGTGTTCTAGAGCGATAACTTATTATTTCCCTTTTTTGGGAAAGATGGACAAACTTAATGGAAACAAAGTGGCATAACATGGAAAAGCTTTGGGCTGTGGTTCAAGAAAGCCTCACTCTCTGGAGTACACTGATGGACACTGAGCAAACTGTCCTTCTTCGGTGATTATCTCCTGGGCACGATGGAGACAGGGTTCACAATCCCATAGATGAGGCAGGCTTGGTCCTGGTGGGGCGGTGGTGACCAGGAGAGATCGGTGTACTGGCCTGAAAATACAATGTGCAAATGTGAAATTGATACTTTAGTCATCTCCTGGCCCTTCTACAACAGCATTAAGAAGCTTTGGGAAATAGGATGGAAAATGGGAATTACCCATTATCCTGATAATCTGAAAACTATTTTTAATTTACATAATTATTTTCTAGCCTCTGTGTGTGTGTTTTTATGCAGTTGTAATTATAGTTGTGAATCACTGTTTCCTGCTTTTCTTTACTTAATAAATACTATTATAAAGCCCTCATTACTTTTAAAGGTTGCATGAAAAGGAAGGCTGATTTTAGAAAATTACTGAATGCCACTCCTGAGGATCCCTCCAGGGCCCTATGCTTGGGCACTTGGGCCTCCTGCATGTGTGCCTGAGTGCTCTAGACTCAGACCCTCCTGAGAATTTGCTGGCAAAGATGCTCTTCCCAGGGAAAAAAATGCCTATGTACACAGAAGTTGCATATCATTTCAAAAGCCATACGTGGATATTTGGATCCTTAATAAGGAACCCTGTCCTAGATCTTGAACTGGACATTGCATTTTTAAAATTTAAATTAAACTTGATGTATGTAACTGTAGCAGTGTTCTGTGTTTCTCACTTTTTCACTCCTCTTGTTCTTTTTTCCCTCTTATTTCCTTTATTTTCACAATAGTTTTTGTTTATAGTTTTGAATCTTGGTCCTAGATGATACATGTATCAGTTTGTACTGTTATCTGAAAACTACCCCAAAACTTAGTGGCTTTGAACATTTCTCCTGACTCTGTGGGGTGGCTGGGCGGTTCCTCTTGTCCTACCTGGGCGCTCTTTCATGGCTGCAGCCAGCTGGCAGGATTGGTGGGCACTGTGACAGTGGGGCTTCTCTCTCCTCTGGTCTTTCTTTCATCCTGGGCTTTTTAGGGCATGGCAGTCTCAGGGCAACATTTCAAGAGGGTGTGGGTAAATCAGTTATATGTATAACTGTGTTGGTAAAGCGAGTCACAAGTGCACTTCGGATTGGAGGGCTGAGGAGCTAGAGGCCACCTCTTCTTGGGGGAGGCATAGGCTGGGAGGAGAGGACTCTGTGGTCCTCTTTGTAGTTACCACAGTATATAAGTCGATGCTAATCTGATGTGTATCGATCCCTTAGGGAAAATTTTTGCGGTGGGAGGAAAATATTAAAGATTTGTCTTCTAACTAGACATGATACTTAAAACTTTAAAAAATACATTTGAATACTTCTGTATGTTAAAGAGGTAAGCCAAGAGGGTGACCTTGGTGAATGCGCAAGCAATTATTCCTGTTTCCTTCTCAGGCTAGCCCATTTTTCTTTTCTTTCTCCCTGGTACAGTACTATACATTTTTATGGGCCCCAGGGAATTCATTGATTTGATTCAATGGCCTTTCTCTGTCTTCTCTTATTATGTGTTGATTGTGTCTTTTGTTTTGGTTGTTGGAAAGCTCAGGCATGTCCCAGCCCCATCGGTTCCTGTCTTATAGTTTGGCAGCTATTCAGCTGGTCCATACAGATGATGACCAAGGTCTGTTTTGGTCCTCTTTAGTCAAGCATAAAATGGGAACAATACTAAGAATAGAAAAGAAACAAGAGACCTCAAGTCAACCACTTCTCTGTTCTACCTGCCCACTGCTTACTCCCCTACAGAGTTAGATTCCACGCATCGCAAATCTAGGGAGACATGGATCCAAGGAGAATAAGGTTGAAAAAAAACTAACCTGTTTGATGTTTCATAAATAAGAAAATCATGCCAGCTTTCATTTCCTTTAGCAAAAACAGGTGCAGGTTCTGAACTAGGTACTGAAAGCTACAAGTGGCTTTTCCTATAATAAATAAGACAGCGCATTAAAATAAGGCTGTTGGAACTATTGTAAATCAACATGATTGGGCGATTTGGTTTAACTTCACTTCCTAGTTAATCTCGAATTGATCAGTTCATTCAATGGTCAGCTGGACAGCCAGACTTGAGATAAAAGAGAAGCTCTGTTGGGATACACAGGACCCAGGCTGGAGGCAACAGACTTGACCAGCTTCATGGGAGAGATGGCCTGTTAGCAAGCCAGGATGCAGCTGAGGACAGGAGAGTTTTTGAATGGTAGGGATCCCCTTGTATATGGTAGGAGATGGGAGGTAGAGTGGGTGGCTGGGACCAGGGCCTAGAAGATGCTCAATACCAGGTGGAGTTTGGGTTTGATTCTAGGCTTGGGAAGAGCTGCCAAAGGGTTTTAAAGAGCAGAGTGGAAAGATTTATTAAGAAGGATAGAGTGCTGTTATTTGAAGTGGGGAACACAAAAGGGAGAGGAGAAACTAGTGGGTTTGGTTTTGGACAAGTTGAGTTTGCATATCAGAGGAAATAATTGGAAATTACTTAGAAGTTATTGGAAATTCTGATTTAGAGCTTAGTAAAGAAAGGGTTTAAGGCTAGACATTTAGATTTGAGAGACCTACATGCGTTTCTATTATTTTGAAGCTGTGAGGGGGGAAGTCGTTATTAGGAGAAGTGAGTTCTAGATAGAACCTCGGGGGTCCATCTGTAGTTGTGGAGCTAGTGGAGGAGACACATGCAGTAGTTAGAGGTAGGAAGAGGACCCAGTGAGGAAAACAAGTGGGGTGAGATGAAAGTGGAGGGTGGTTATCAGTGCCTGCTGTGTCAGAGGGTGTGGCCAGGATTGATCATTTTGTTTTAGCCAATCACCTAACTGCCTTTGTTTGCCACCATTATTATATATCAAGCCTGAGGTTTTCCTTTGCCTGAAGCCTTTGAACTAGCAACTCTTGGGTGTAGATCAATGGTTCTTTTTTAAAGATTTTTATTGGGGAATTGGGGGATGGGAACAGCGCTGGGGAATTGGGGTACAGACAAGTTGTTGTCCGTTTGTTCTTCAGTCTAGTTGTGGAGGATGTTGCTTCACCGGCCCAAGTTGGCACCATCATTGTGCTCTTCCTGGGTGAGGCAGATCAGTCACCGGCTTCTGGATGGCCACTCACAGTGGCTGCTGGCCGCTCACGCTGGCTGCTGGCTACACACGGTAGTCTATGGCAACCCACTGCAGCAGGGGCTGCAGCCTACGCCATTGCTGGAGACCCACGGCAGCCCAGCTCCAGGTTGAGCTGTTGTTCA